CCCAATAAACAGGGAAATGGAAAGTGAGCATGGTAATTTAATTATAAGAGCAAATAGAGCTCTACTAACTGGGGTAGAACTGAAATGGGGTATATATTTCTTCTGTAAGAAAAAAGAGAGGACAAATAGCCCTAAAATGATAATAAGATTTTAAATTTCTTTGGCTGGACTTCATTAAGTACAAAAGTTACAGTTTTGGTTCAACTGCATTTAAGTTATTAAATTAATGCCATTTAAACAACTTGGCATTCCTACTTCAAGATTGTAATTCACTTGGGGAAAAAATGATGCAGATGAACATTTATTTCATGTCTCTTTCTTAAGTGGGCAGTAAAATACCCGCTAAGAGTTATTTTTGAAAGCATTTAAGTGTGAAGAATAATCAGCTTAAACAATTAAGATAGTTATTGCTATTTCTTTTTTCTTCTCCCTCCTCCCCCCCAAAAAACCCTAAGTGCACAATATATCAGAAAAAATAGATAATTTTAATATTTAATTTCAATACCTATAACAGCACTGTGATTTTCAAAACATTCTCATTTAGTCCTTTTCATAGCAGCATTTGTTTCCCTGGCTATTTCCAACTCAATATCAGTTCGTCTCTTGACAATATTTACTTATTCAGCAATGGCTTCGCTAATGGAAAAATCTTAAAATAGAAATACAATGGGAAGAGTAAGGAGGCACCATTTAATTTAACTCCTCAGTGCCAGTTCAACCAATTCGTCCAGGGCTTCCCAGCAAGCTGGTGGTATTGATGAAAATGGGTCTCATCTGTCCTAGCCTGGTCTTTGTGTATAAACCATTCTCCTAAGAGATTGAATAAACACAAATAGATGCTACAGTGCCACATGTCATCCAGTTATTGCCTTATTCTGTTACTGATAAGTAGCTGTTTTCTATTCGTACAATGCAACCCAGCCTCTTTGGTGGATAGGGACAAAAACATGAGATATTTTCAATGTGGAGTGCTATCTTCAATTATGTCTTTATGCTACTGAATGTTCTTTTTGCCTTGGTTCTGCTTACGGACACAGTCATCCATAAGCTGCATCATCATTACTGGTCATCTGTATCATAATTTTTCATTGGTTTCTTCTAGTTCTATTTGCTTTGGGGGGTGATGGAAGGGTCACAAAGATTCCAAGTCCTCTCGTTAGCGTTCCTTTACTGTGGTACTTTTGCTTTTGGACTTTGATGTATGGAGCTGCATTAATAGTAATCCCTGACTGATCATACTCTCATCATTAGGCTATGCATGGTACATTTTTATGCACATATCTATTCATATATGTATGCAGTTGATTAGTTGTTTTAAGTGATACATCAATCATTTACAAAACTCACTAATCCAAGGCTAGGACACTGGTAACACCTTCATTCAGCTGTACATTGCCAATGACTATGCCAACCCCATGCCTCCTCCCAGCCAAAGTGTCCATCACCTTGAACCCTATTTTTATCATTCTCTTCCTTCACTTTTATACATTTTTATTTCATCATCATGTACTTGGTTGGGATTTTTAATGTTTTTCAAGTAAAAATGGCAACTTGAAGACCCTGATCTAATGTCATAAAACACCAAAATCTCTAATAATGCTCATTGATAAAGGGTGATTACACTTTAATTATTAAGTTACTTGGAATTATCTGCAAAGTACACTCATGTGAACACACACATGCTCACATCAGCACCAATTTCACTATGCTCACTTGTAACTAAATGTGAATTACTTATTATCTTTGTGACCAATCATATTAAAAAATTAATAAATCAGGAAAAAGAGCTTTTGTTATTCCATGATTCAAGCTATGGTTCATAGAATACGTCCATACCCCTTACATCTTCAGGTTTTCTCAGTGCCTTTCACTCTGCAGCCCACGGGTGAGGATTTAGAGGATGACTGACTGATTGATTGTGCTAGACAGTGCTGCTTTTCAGGGTGGCTTCAGAGTATTGCAGTTATTTCATTTGGCTTGGTTCAAGCTATTTGAATTATGATTGTTTATGTTGCTGCAATCTCCTGTAGAGGACGCCTTAATCATGCACTTTACTCCCCTGAAATTTCAAGGGAGGCCTCTGTTGAAATCATCTGCCCTAAGCCAGGATACATGTGCAGCTCTCCTCCCAGTGCACAATGACTATCCATAAATGTGGCTATAACAGGTCCTCCTAAGGACTGTTTTTAGTGCCCTCATATTTCATGACAAAGTAAATGGTTTGGATAGTCAGTATCTAACCAAAAAGAACTAGCTCCTGAAGCATGGCCATTTTCCCTCTCAGTGGAAAAGCTCGACTCTAACAAGATGAAGGTCTGTGTGTAATTGCGTTACTACAGAAATATGGACTGGGAAACATGAAGCTGCTCTTCACCAAGGAACACAAACTCTTTGCTCTGATGGTAGCTTCATCTCTATATCTGAAGCCATTTAAAGTTGATCAAGTGGTCACATGTAAAATAATGGCTTCAAATTTCTTTTTAAAATGCTGCTTACATATAGAAGAGTTGTTCCATTAAAATTTAATAGTATTCCTTTTCAGCTTTTCCTTCTGTTTAGCTCATTCATATTATTACCTTATACTTTGCACCCCATGTGCTCACATTAATAGGAATACACTTTTGTTATTTATTTCAGAAAGAAACAGACCACAGAGAACTTCTCAGGTGGTAGTGACACCACATCAAAAAATCACCTTGATACACTCTCCTGTCTCTTTGGGGTCAGAAATTTTATCATTATAGTAGAATCTTTTGATTTTATGGGATTGACTTAAACACCAAACTCTGTGCTTTTATTTTAGGTGTATAAGTTCTAAAAAATATTTATCAGTATAAAGAGAACAGATTTCATGTATTTCATAGGCACAATTCTAAGTAACCACAGTTCCTTCCCTCCCAATCTCCTTCCCACAATCCTCTTCTTCATTTTGTTTTCTTAAATTTTTGCAAAAACATGAGTTCAACTCACTCCACAATGACAGATTTAATGCATCACTAACCCTAATATTTAACAAATAAAAAGTAGAAAGACCAAAGTCCACAGGAGTATAAACAAGGACCAAAAACAACAATCAAATCACAGGAGGTTCATTTCACCCCTACACATTTTTTGTAGTCTATATTAATTGAATAATGATTTCCAACTGCATCCATTTTGTTGCAAAAGACAGAATTTCATTCTTTTTTATGGCTAAGTAGTATTCCATACTACACACACACATACACACACACACACACACACACACACCACATTTTCTGTATCCAGTCATCAGTTGATGGATATTTGGGTTGATTCCATATCTTAGCTATTGTGAATTGAGTTGCAATAAACATAGCGGTACAAATGACTCTTTCATATGCTGATTTCATTTCCTCTGGGTAAATTCCCAAGAGTGGGATAGCTGGATCACATGATAGATCTATTTTCAGATTTTGGAGGAGTTTCCATACTGTCTACCTTAATAACTGTACCAGTTTGCATTCCCACCAGCAGTGCATAGGGTACCTCTCCTTACATCCTCATCAGCCTTTATCATTTGTTTACCTCCAGGAGCAGTGCATGGCCACACTGAAGTCCTCCACAGTCTCTACCTACATACCATGCAGGGTGTGCTCATTCTCTTTTCTTTCTTCCATGTGGGGACAGCAGCCACTCTCGTGTCTTCCCTGAATGGACTCCAACATGACCCTTTCTGCAATGATTCTCCCCACTTTGCCTAGAATGGAAACTATCCTTCTTTTCAACCTAACACATAACACTAGTGTGGTTATTACAGTATGCACCAGGGAAGGACAGGACAACAGGAAGCAGGCATGCCTCACTTACTACTTGGCAGGTTCCTGAAGGATCCAGCCTCAGATGCCCCCAATTCTGGGTTTGCATCTCCACTCCTGACTGGGTCCTCCTGCCTCTTACATGCAACATCTCCAGCATGAGACTCCCATGGCTTCAAACATCTACTCCAGACTTCTCTGTTTGAAAGGCCACCTGTCCTTTACAACTGAGATAGTGTTATCTCCTCCTGGATTCTGTCACTTCCAGTCCCTGCTTCCCTGCCAAGCCTGATTTAATTCTCCCCACCAGAGGATCCCTCCTGAGAACTCCCCAGAGTTGACAGCAACAATTTTTGTTTGTTTCTCCCCACTGGATCGGGTCCACCCAGCGAGACCACAGTAAATATTTATCCAGTGGCAAAAATAAGTAAGTTGATGAGTTGGTGGCTTTGGCAAGCAGAGAGAATAAATTTCAAATTCTTTGCAAGTTATATAATGTTTATGAGATCCCATCTCTTCACTTACACATCAAACAATACACACTCCCCTAGGTGATTGTGGGGAAAAAAGACATAACCTGTGCACAAACTATCTTGGATGCAAGGTCAGTTCATATATGGTACCCTTACTGCCTCAGAAAAATATCTGCTCAATGCAACTGTTGAGTAGATGGGATTGGGAAGTACTTGGCAGCAGCTGGGGGGCAACGCCATGTAAGGGCTGCCAATGGCAGAGTGCAGAGCATTCCTGGTCTAAAATGAATAGGAAAGATTGTGCTTACACACCCTCCTCCAAATGTTCCTTTTTTTTTTTTTTTTTTTGCACCTGCTCTTCTCTAGGAATAATCCCTTATGCAAATATGAATCACCAATACTGCAACTTGTTTCATTCACAGATAGGCCAGCACCATGGCTCAATAGGCTAATCCTCCGCCTACGGCGCCGGCACACCAGGTTCTAGTCCTGGTTGGGGTGCCGGATTCTGTCCCAGTTGCCCCTCTTCCAGGCCAGCTCTCTGCTGTGGCCAGGGAGTACAGTGGAGGATGGCCCAAGTGCTTGGGCCCTGCACCCCATGGGAGACCAGGAGAAGCACCTGGCTCCTGCCTTCGGATCAGCGTGGTGCGCTGGCCATGGTGGCCATTGGAGGGTGAACCAACGACAAAGGAAGACCTTTCTCTCTGTCTTTTTCTCACTGTCCACTCTGCCTGTCAAAAAAAAAAAAAAGTGACAGATAAGTGATTTGATGAATGCCTCCTTGTGCTTTCCAAAAACCATGATCTCTTTAAATGTATTCTAAATGTTTGGCTACATAAGTGCATTCATCAGCACAAATGTGCCTAAATATAGTAACAACAACCTTATGCCTAGAAAGCTTTAAATGAGAAATGCAAACCCAGCCATCCAAGATGTATGCAATTCTAATCATTCCCCTAATGGCATGAAGAAGACAGCAGTAAAGTTAGTGGATAATAATTATTTGGTAATGACCTCCTTCTGGAGGGACCAGAGCTTGGTGTGCACAGACATAATATCTTAGTAAGAATATGTCCCTCATATAATTAAACTATAATTAAACAAGCAAAATTCTTATGGCAGTTGCACCAGATAACTTCAATCATGTATTTAGAATCCACTGCCAGTGGGCAGGCAAGAAGCAACTCAGAGCAAGTTGGAAGAAAAGGACTCCAGATTCCATCAAAGCACATCAATCAACTCAGTAAACTAATTACACTGAGAGCAGGCATCAAGGCAACATTAGTTTACAAAATACTTCAAGGCAGCATCATTACAAATTCTACGCAAGTTATATTTGCCAGGTGGAATTTCCTTCTTTACCTCCACTGCCATTGTTTGGCTAATTACTCCTCACATGTTCATTCTAGGACACTTCCCTGTCAGCCATGTCAAATCTGGAGCCTGAAGACACATGCTCTGTTAATGCCCCACGCTCCCCTGTTACAAAGCAGTTGCCTCCTTGGATTTACTTGCCCTCCTCTTGGCCGTGAGGCCCTTGTTACAGTGACTGCCTGCCTTGTTTGTGATATGGGCTCAATAAACATTTGTTAAATTAAAAACATTAATGATTCTAGCTACAGGGAACAGAGGAAAACGGGACTAATTCTGATCAGGAAGGTTGGGGAAACTTTAGAGGATGTAGTACTTGAGCCTAGCAGCACTGCTCCTGAAGCGCCCACCGTAAGACCTAAACTGATCTTTATGGGAAGTCTCCAGGTCTTTCCAATCTCAGCTGGAGTCACTGACTCATGTGCTCACCAATCTCAGGGGCTTCTTGCTCTGTTTTGCATCCTGATGTTTGCAAACCAATATTCTCTCCTGTAAAACTCACAAATACATCCTTCTGCAAAGCCTTGACCATTTCTTGTCCTTCCCCCATCTTTTCATTGCTTGCCCCCCAAAAGGCTTCCATTATCCCACCTTCATTCCACCTGATTTCCTAAGCCTTCTTCTCTTGTGTTTGCAATGAAAGCCAGGTTTCTCAACAGTCCAACATCTTCCATCTGTCTGTAGAAACTTCTCCACCTATGTAGAGTAAAATTCTAAACAAATTATTTTTAAGGATTTCTGTTGTAACTTAAAAATGATCATATGGTTTAAATAAGGAGTCCCCAAATACATTTCTGCTAATTAGGTGTTTGAGTCAACTCTTCTTTTTCTTTTTTTGACAGGCAGAGTGGACAGTGAGAAAGAGAGAGACAGAGAGAAAGGTCTTCCTTTACCCTCCAATGGCTGGCACACCATGCTGATCCGAAGCCAGGAGCCAGCTGCTTCTCCTGGTCTCCCATGCGGGTGCAGGGCCCAAGCACTTGGGCCATCCTCCACTGCACTCCTGGGCCACATCAGAGAGCTGGACTGGAAGAGGGGCAACCGGGACAGAATCCAGTGCCCCAAATGGGAATAGAGCCTGGTGTGCCGGCGCTGCAGGCAGAGGATTAGCCTACGTAGCCACGGCACCGGCCGAGTCAACTCTTAAGACCTGAAATCTTTGCCTCCCATCTCTTCCTTGGATATCATATTTCCATTCTTGCCTCACCCTTCCTGACAGGAACCAATAAAGAGAGCTAATTCTGGATACATAGGGAAGCAGTTGAGGCAGACTGTCCCCACGATTCCATCTTCAAAATCCTCCCTGAAAGCTCTAGGATGCCTTCCACTTTGGGCCACCTTGCAGAAGGACTCAGCACTAGAGGTGCCACAAAAGACTCAGCAGCAGCAGCTCTCAAATACCCTGCCATTCCTTACTACCAGAAGCCTCCACGGCAATGGGGTTGATGCCCACCATCTAGCCACATACCCGAAAGATGCACTTTTTGGTTTGTTTTGAGTTGTGTTTTCATTTTCTCAGTGACTCTGATTCCACTTTATTGAATCACAATTCACTTCAAGTCACCGTTGAAGTCATTCCTGCCTCTCAGTCCTTCAGATCATTCACATTGCAACATCAGGTGTATTTTCAAAACCATCAAAACAGCTTTTACTTGTGTTCCTTTCTTGCATAACATCACTTTTCTTATTACCAGAAATTTTAACATCTCACTTTCCACTTATAATGGGGTTCAGACTTAATTCACAGGCAACTCAAAGTGAAGTACAAATGCAGCAAATAAAACATAGACTCAAGCATCAGATAGACAGAGATCAAAATGTCTAATCACAACCACAGCACCATGTTCCATGCTGATGCACTTTGGTTCTGTGGCACAGCTTTCAGAGAATCTGGGAAAGGTCACTAGACTGAAAGTTCACCTCCAACAACAATCACAAGCTTACTATTAGGCATCAGACATGCTCAGTTCAGAATCAGTTTTGACCCAGAGTACATGCTCAATAAATGTTCACCACTTCTATTACTGTGGCTGCTATTAGCAAAACTTTGTTTTAATCTTCTAGTAAGCACTTTAAAAGTCGACATTTTTTCTCTTTTCCCGACATACAATACAGTAGCCAACCTCCATTAGGCATTTCTAAGAGTAGTTTGAATGAATGGGTAGATAAACATATGGATGGGCATATTGGAATTTACAAAGATCTACAGAATGGTAGAAAATTCTATAAATAGTAACAATAATCAGAGGAGACAATAAGGGAAACATGAGAGTAACTGTTCAGTGAATGGTGAGGATTTCAGTCCTAAGTAAGCTTCTGGTGCAGGAGCATGATGTGCACACACACACACACACACACAATCAGGTGGCCAGGAAAGCTGGTGGGAAGATCCAGAGTAGAACACTATTCCAGCCTGGGACAATCTTGTCTGGGTTGCATCTAGAATTGAGAGACATCTAAATTGTTACCTCTACCAAAAAACCTTTTCCTTTCAATTCTAAATAAAACTGAACTCTTCAACCATCACTGTCTGCAGTTTGTCACATGGTAAATTATTTTCTATGAAGCAACACAGCAGGATAAACAGATTAGTGGTTTCTACTAGCCCAAGGAGAACGGCCAGAAGGAAGAGTGTCAGAGGCTGCTCTAAACTAAAAATGTCTTCATCTATAAAATGCAGGTAACAACAGCTACTTCTTAGTGTCACTAGCATATCTGATTTATATTCTGAAAATGCTTTGAACAATATCTCAAAAATCCATCCTATACACTAGCCATCTTACCAGCCAAGAATTCAGAGTTAATATGGTTATTATCAATACCTAGGGTTGGATTGGACTATGAAAGCAAGATGGTGGGACAAGCACTGTGGCACAGCAGGTTAAAGACCTGGCCTGCAGTGCCAACATCCTATATGGGTGCCAATTCGAGTCCCAGCTGCTCCACTTCCGATCCAGCTCCTGGTTAATGCACCTGGAAAAGCAGCAGAGGACGGGCCAAGTGCTTGGGTTCCTGCTCCCACGTGGGAGACTCACAAGAAGCTCCTGGTTCCTGGCTTCAGACCAGCTAGTGCTCCAGCCATTGCAGCCATTTAGGGGAGTAAATCAGTGGATGGAAGACTTCTCTCTCTGTCTCTACCTCTCTCTATAACTATTTCAAATAAACAAATCTTTAAAAAAAAGAAAGCAAGATGGCTGGTACTTGGTAGAGGAAAGTTATTTATTAGAACCAAGGAGGCCAACTCCTGACAAGGTCAGTGGGGTGGACAGGATAAATATGTGAGTGTGAAAGTCTGCAGGAGGACAGGCACAAGGATGGAGAAAATACCCTGACCAAGGAGCCAGTCTTTAACAAATGGAGGAGAATGAGTAAAATAGTAAGAGGGGAATGTTAACAATATGATATCACACACTTTAGTGGATCTAGGAAGCTCAGGGAAGGAAGACAGTACAGTGGTTTCAGAGCTGCACTGGAGTGGAGAGATTCAGGTCCCAAGGTAACTGAGCATATGAAAAGAAGTCTCCAGTTACCCAGGCTCAAGGATGGCAGTGTATTCAAGAGGTAGCCAGGTTCAGTAAAAACGAGGTCCAGAACTCTAAATTAGATTGAAGATATAGGGAAGCTTGAAATCAAGGCAGGGGTTGTCAGGAAAGGGAGAAAACACGTGTGACTGGGAGAGATCCAGCATGTTCCATGTAGTAGGGCATTGAGGCACCAGGAGTGACAGGTTGTTGTGCTAGGAGAAGTGAGGGTACTAACCCCAAGGTGTTACAAAGAGACGTAAGACTTCAAGCTACTGTTCCCTTTCTGGATGCAATATTAACGAGGGAAAAGGATGAAGGCTCAATTCTTCACAGACTGACAGCTGCAAAAGTAGGGATGAATATGAAGAATGAATATACCTCCAATAAGAAAATATCACCTGTAATTTGTTCTTTTTCATCTTATTTTAAGACCTGCAAGAGCCAGGCAATATCTGGTTTCTTTTTATGGAATCTAAATTTATGTACTTACATTTCCCCACTCTGTTTGGTTTAGTCTATAGTATTTAATTGTGTGTGTTTTCTACCAATAAATATCTACCGAATTCCTGCTGCATACAAAACATTATGTGGGAGATAGAACATGCATACAATATCCCCTAGCACTGTAGTGTTCATAAACTAAAGAAGGAGACAAAGGTAGATATCAACAATTACAAAACAATGTGTGAAAGTCTGGCTTCCTTCCAAGAACATAGTATTTTCAAGTTTTATTCATAGTGTAGCATGCATAAATAGTACTTCCTTGGTAGGACCAAATAACAATCCATTATATGAATATACTGTCTTTTACTTATCAGTTGCTTGGCATTTGGTTTTTAAAATTTATTTTTTATTTATTTAAAAGGCAGAGTTAGAGAGAAGAGGAGGAGGAGGAGAAGGGAAGAGAGAGAGAGAGAGAAACTTCCATCTGCTGTTTTACAGCACCAGATGGCCACAAAGCCAGGAGCCTGAAACGTCTTCTGGGTCTCCCACATGGGTATAGGGGCCCAAGCACTTGGGCCATCTTCCACTACTTTCCCAGGCACATTAGCAGGGAGCTGGATTGGAAGTAGAACAGCCAGGTCTCAAACCAGCACCCACACATCTGCTTGCCAGCATCACAAGTAGAGGCTTAACCTGCTATGCCACAATGCTGGCCCTGACATTTGGATTTTTCCAGCTTTGGACTGTGGATGATTCAAAGAATTGATTGTGATGATGGTGGCATAACTCAAAATATACTAAAAACCAGAATCATATACTTGAAATGAGTAAATTCTATGGTCTGTGAGTTTTATCTCAATAAATATGTCACACACAAAAACCAGCAATGGAATTGAGTGCAGTATATCAAGAACACAAACACACACACACACACACACACACACACACACACACAAAGAAGAGCTATCTAAGAGGAATAGGTAGTTTTAGGAGGTGATTAACTGAAAACTTCTTAGAAGAGGTGACCTCTAGAGACCACTTCTTCAAAATGGACAGAAGATAACTGGGTGGAGGAAACATAGGATACAGTGGTGGATGCTAACATTCAAAGACACAAAGTGTTACTCTGCCTGGATGGCAGGACTGATCACAGGAAGTGATAAGCAGCTATGCAAGCCATTGGAGGAGTGTCACACTGGGAGCCACCCAGAAGCTAAATCTAACGGAGATAAGACTGAAAGCAAGGAAAACCCTTAGGAAAATCTAAAATACAGAGAGGAGGTGGGAAATGAGCATAAGAAGAGAAAAAATTCCACAGTAAAGTGGAACCTGGAAAGAGAGAAGCATAGTACAGTAATTACAAAGTCCAGGTTCAGTGAATAATGGCAGTAAACCATCCTTTTCCAAATAACATAGTTCAGCAAATCCAATGCTACCATTCATGTAGAAGTGACAAAAGTCAGCCAGTAGGAGTCATGTTCAGGACTGGCATTGAAACACTGTGTATCCAGCAGACTCATAGAATGGCAGATGTCCTAAACAGCACTCTGGCCTCAGAATCAGCCATTAAGGCATTCAGATCTGGCTAAAAAGCCCATGAGAGTATTTCAGGCATGGAAAGCCAAGACATTCTGGCAAAAAAAAAAAAAAAAGGACCTGGATGAAAGATCTCTGTGAGTGAGATCTCAGCAAAAAGAACAGGCCATCAAAGAAGGAGGTACCTTTCTCTGAAGGGAGGAAAGAACTTCCACTTTGACTATGACCTTGTCTAAATAAGATCGGAGTCGGTGAAGTCAAAAGACTGCCATAGCCTTGGCAACTCATGACAAGAGCCTAGGGTGATTACTGATGTCATAAACAAGAGTGTCAATTAAATCAACAGGAGTCACTGTGCACTTACTCCCCATATAGGATCTCTGTCCTTATTGTGTTGTCCAATGTGAATTAATGCTATAACAAGTACTCAAACAGTATATTTCACTTTGTGTTTCTGTGAGGGTGAAAACTGTTGAAATCTTTACTTAATATATACTAAATTGATCTTCTGTACACAAAGAGAATTGAAAATCTTGATGTGAATGGAATGGGAGAGGGAGCGGGAGATGGGATGGTTGCGGGTGGGAAGGAAGTATGGGGGGGGAAAAGCCACTGTAATCATAAGCTGTACTTTGGAAATTTATATTTGTTAAATAAAAGTTAAAAAAAAACACCGGGTACCTTTCACTTCAGAGAATGCCAAATGTCCCATTACACTCGGTTGTCTTCACTATTGGCCACAGTAACAGAGATGGCCAAAGACCTGGCTCAAACAGACCTGACTCTACCCACAGGTTTGACAATACAAATATGGTGTGAAGCTTCCTCATTTAATGATGAACACTGTTCTATTTAGTGATAGAGAATGAGTTCCTTTACAGCTTTTGTATGTAAAAATACATTTTCTTAGAAGAAATAAAAAGCAATTCATAAAATAGCAGTGTATTTCATAAATCACTGTGAAAAAGCATGGCGCCAATGAGACCTTGTCCCTACACCAGGCTCAGAATTTGATCTGAATGAAATCCAAATGGAAAAGACGCTACTAATGCCATATGTTGCTTAAGAAGGAAAGATTAGAGAAAACAACCAACCTACACTCTTTTCTATTTAGCGGTGAGCAATTAAAAACTGTTTCAGGTTTCCCATCTTAGACCATCTCTCTGAAGTGAATTCAGATCAGACAGAATCAAAAGTTGCTCTTGGTACATTTCTGGCCTCCCCCTTCCGTACAAAACCAGTTATAACCTTGATGAGGACCACTAGGTTTATTGGCCACAAACTATTGGGGCAAATCTATGCAGGCTGCAACTTAAGTCATCAAATGTCAGAATCAGAAGGGCCACAGTAATAAATATGCAATTAATTTCTAGTATTCTCAATGTGCTAAAAAATCCAAATTTACATAAATTATACATACATATAAGCACATTTTCAGAATAATCAGTCAGATTCACCAAATCCCAGGCCAGCACTGTGGCGCAGCACTGGCAGTCTACATGGATTCCAGTTTGACTCTGGCTGCTCCACTTCCGATCCAGCTCTCTGCTAATGAACCCGAGAAAGCAGGAGAAAATGGCCCAAGTGTTTGGGTCCCTGAACCCACAAGGGAGACCCAGATGAAATTCCTGGCTAATGGTTTCAACCTGGCCAAGTCCTGGTTGTTGCAGATGGAAGACCTCTTTCTCTCTCCCTCTCTGTCTCTAATTCTGCCTTTTCTAATAAATAAATAAATATTTAAAAAATTGACCAAATTCTCAGTTGAGTTCCTTTCCCTGCCAAATAAAGGATTTAGAACTGTATAGTCATTGGTACGTGGTCTGGCTTGAGCTTTTAGGGACTACAGACTGATCACTGAGTTAATTGGTTGAATGGGCCTCTTGGCAACTGCCCATAGAAGATACAACTGAGTTGCTCTGTCAGGCACAAAATATCCCTCCTCTTTCTGTCTGTTCTATGATGTCTACTATTACTGAAAGGCATTATGCCATCTGACAAGGGGCACAACCTTATTCTGCGGAACCTGGACCTTACGTAATTTAGATGGTGGGTCAGCATTAAGGAAAAAAATAATACAAAACAAGAAATAGAAAATTAGATCCATGGCCTTGGAAGGAGCCTACACAACCAAGGTACTTTGAATTTTAAGTTTCACAAGCTTCAAGTTGAATCCATCTTTTTTCAACACACATAATAGTGATGAACTCCTCATTTGCTGTCTTCCAGTAACAATTTTGTTTATTTATATTATTCCTTGTAGTAAGTTTATTTTTTAAAATGACTTGCTGAGCTACATAAAATACAACAAAATAAACTTTAATTCAAAGCAAACAAGAAGGAAAATCTGAACTAATAAAACAGCATAAAGCCATTTTATTAAATGAATGAAATACACAGCATATTTCCTGTCCATTTGTGAAAATATGCAGAACTTAGCTATAAATCATCTAGTTGTCAATAGAAAGTGAAAAACATGGTTAATTATATGAGTTAGAGCAACAGTTGAATAAATTCACAGCTAGTGAGAAATCTTTTCTCTCAGTGTTCTATAATGAAGTGATTACATAATCAATAAAAATCCTAGACTATTTCCTATGATATGGCTCTGTGAAGACCCTGGCACCCTAGCAAGGACCAGCCACTAAAGGTGCATCTACAGAAATGCAATGGCTGTGGTTCAGGTACCCTGCTCTATAGGGTTATAATTAATTCGAAGTTAGACCTTAATACTACATGTGAACCATGGGTGTTCTACAACATCCTCTGTGAATACTCTCAAATGTTCTTATTTAAAAAGCAAGTGGATAACCGTGAGTTGGAGGTTATGCAAAGGCAAAGGCTACATTAATACATACTTGTTTAAAATTTCTCCATGTCAATAGAGAAAAGGATTCCCATATACTTTTCAAATTAAGTAACCCAAGAAGGTTAAATACCTAACTCAAAGACAAAGAGAGAATTTCAAGCACAGCCAATAGGCAACCCAAGAAATAATTTGTGGCCTCACTTGATATATAAAACCATCTAATCACCCTAATTAGTATAATTCCTTCATTTTTACACATTTCTTGGAGCATATTATTTATTATCTTAGTGTATTTTACATTATTATAGGCTTTTTCAGTAACTTTGACCTGCAGAAAATTAGCCTGGAATGAAATACAGCTTTTCTTGTTTACTCCTCAAAATAATTTTGAAAAATGCAGTACATGTTCCTATGCCTTTTTTAATTGACTTTTTGTAAAATTTGTTGACCTGTGTGAAAGAGTTCTGCAATTACACATTAAAATGATGGCGGAGTAGGGAGGGAGCTTGCTGCTTGAGTCTAGAAGATAGCTAAAAAAACAACAGAGTACAGTCTCAGGGAAGATTTAGGGAGGAAACAGCAGAGAAAACTTACGTAAACTGCAGGAATACAGTGGACCCATGTGGAGGGCAAAGACATGCACAACTTAGCACCCCACAAGCCGAGAGCCTCACAACAGTGTTGGAGAGCAAGGTGAGACCAGACTGCAGTAGCCGAAGACACTGGCTAAAAAGCTACAGGAAGAGCCTATATGAATCTGACTTGGAGCCAGATGGGGGATAACCCATAAAACTGGAGGAGAAAAAAACAAAGGGGAAGGCACATTTTCTCTCTCCCCATTCAACCTGCAAAGTTGCCCTGTATCAAGCTGAGAGACAGCAGGTGCCATTTGGAACATACATAACAACTATACGAGATTGTGTCTGCACCCAGCAGCAAGAAAAGCAGAGACTCCTGAGTCTGGTGGGGAGAGGACACTGGGGGCAGGGTGCTTGTTACTGTAGGAGGTACATGTGCAGGACTGTGAAACATTGAGGCTGTGTGGGAAGACTCAGGGTGTGGATGGAACTGGGCAGTCCCTGTGGGAGGCACCACACAATCAGGGATCCCTGATTACTTGGTGAGAGGCATTGCTGGGGAATCTGACTTACGCTGAGGACTGCACAGATCCTTTGTGTGGTCCTTGTGACAGCATGAACAAATAATATACTCACAGGGGTTAGCACCCAGGCACTGGTCTCCTTCTAGGAGAGGACCTCAGCTGAGTCTATGCCAACAGAAAAGAAGAAACCTCACCTCGAATTTAAAAAAAATGGGGGGGGGATTTAACACTCCAAAACTGGGTATGTCCCCTCAGACACATCCTTCACCATGGAGCACTGAACAGAGCTCTCTGGCCACTCGCCACCACACACCTCTAGTTATTTCCCAAAAGCAGACACTTCACTAATCCAATTAGACATGGTCCAAAAATATAAACCACCACAGCAAAAAGAAGAAGAAGAAGAAGAAGAAGAAGAAGAAGAAGAAGAAGAAGAAGAAGAAGAAGAAGAAAAAAAAAAACGAGTACGCCAACAAGCACCAAGTAACAAATACACCAATCCAAAAAACAAAAACAAGGAATACAACATGATATCTGCAAAAAGAACACAACACCTCAATACTAGATTGTGAAGATGATGAGACTGAAGAAATACCAAAATAGAATTCAAAAAATTGATCATAGGATTACTTAGAGGTAATCAGAAACAAATCCATGAACTAATAAAATACAAACATGACATGAAAGAAAATTTCTCCCATAAAATTAGGATTTTCAATAGAACAAATAAAAAATACAGTGGGAAGCCTTTACAACAAAATCAGTAAAGCAGAAGAAAGACTATCCAACTTAGAAGACAAAGAACAGGAAATTAAACAGTCAGAGCAAACACAAGTAGGAATTAGAAAACTAAAAAACACTGTTGGGAATCTGGAGGACACTATCAAATGACCTAACATATGGGTTCTAGGAGTACCTGAAGGTGTAGAAACAGAGAAAGGATTAGAAGTCCTTTTTCATGAAATAATTACAAAAAAAAATCCCCAATTTGGAGAAAGAAAGGGGCATCCAATTACAAATTGAGAATGTGGAAGTCAAACTAATGACATCTTATGTTAAAGTGATCATAGTAAGTGTGTAACTAATAATATAGATAGGATTAAGTGTCAAAGGGATCACATAAATAAGACCAAGTGTCTGGTAATAACAAGATAGAATTAGAAAGGAGAGAATGATCCAACATGGGAAACGGGCCACACAGCAGACTCATAAAACGACAAATGCCTTAAATAGCAGTCTGGCCTCAGAATCAGCCCTTTGTGTGTCTGTGTGGGTGCAAACTGTTGAAATTTTTATGTAATATAGAGTTGGTCTACTGTATATAAATAAAGATAGTTCAAAATGAATCTTAATGAAGAATGGGATGGGAGAGGTAGTAGGAGGTGGGGCAGGAGTAGGGATGGGAGGGCAGGTATGGGGGACCCACTATATTCCTAAAGCTGTACCTATGAAATTTGTACTCATTACATAAAACTATTCTTAAAAAAAGGAAAAAAGAAAGAAAGGGGCATCTAAGTACAGGAAGTATGCAGAACTCCTAATAGACATGACCAGAAAAATCTTCACCACAACACATTGCAATCAAACTCCACAGTAAAACATAAAAAAAGATTCTAAATTGTGCACGAGAAAAATGCAAAATTACTTTCAGAGGATCTCCAAACAGACTCACAGCAGACTTCTCATCAGAAACCCAAAAGGCTAGGAGATACAGTCCAAGTCTTAAAAATTGTCAATCCAGAATACTATACTGTCCAAAGCTCTCATTTATGAATGAAGGTGATATAAAGACCTTTCATAACAAAAAAAAAACTGAAAAAATTTGTGACCACCCATTCAGCCCTGCAGAAGATGCTTAAGGATATGCTGCACGCAGAAACACAGAAACATGATCATCAATATGGAATAAGGTAGAGGAAAGAAAAGTCCCAGCAAAAGTACAAAGGAAATTCAAAGTAAAAACTAGGAATATGTATGGAAAAATGGCAAGGCAAATTCAAAGCTTACCAATAGTTACCTTGCAGGTAAATGGCCATAACTCTCCAGTTAAAAGATACAGAGTGGCTGAATAGATTAAAAAACGAAATCCATCTACTTTCTGCCTACAAGAAACACATCTTACTCTAACAAAGATGCATGCAGACTAAAAGTGAAAGGATAGAAAAAAAGATAGTCCATGCCAAAAGAAATAAAAATGAGGTGGTGTAGCTATCTTAATATTAGACAAAATAGACTTTAACAGAAAACCGGTTAAAAGAGATAAAGAAGGGTACTATGTAATGATTAAAGGATCAACTAAACAAGGAGATGTGACTATTATAAACATATATGCACCTAATTACAGGGATCTAAAGGGATACATAGAGTAAAATACAAAAGCAATGGTAGATTTCAATACCCCACTTTCAGCAATAGACAGATCAGCCAGACAGAAAATCAGCAAGGAAACAGCAAAATTAACTGACACTATAGACCAAATGGACCTAACACATAGCTATAGAACTTTTAAACCTAAAGTTGCAGAATACACATTCTTCTCACTTGTGCATGGAACCTTCTCTAGGATTGACTTTATGCCATGCCATAAAACAAGTCGTGGCAAATTAAAAAAAAAATGAAATCATACTATGCATCCTCTTGGACCACAACACAATGAACCTGAAAATCAGCAGCTCAGGAATATCTAGAACATACGCAAACATGGAGACTGAACAATTCTCATGAATGAACCTTGGGTCATAGAAGAAATCAAAAGAGAAGTGAAAAAACTTCTAGAAGCAAATGAAGATGACAATACAACATATTAAATGTTATGGGATACAGCAAAAGCAGTATTAAGAGGAAAGTTTATAGCACTTGGTGCTACATCAAGAAATTGGAAAGACACCAAAAATGAGCTATCACTATGTCTCAAGGATCTAGAAAGAAAACAGCAAACAGAGCCCAAAACTAGTAGGAGAAAAGAAATAATTAAAATTAGAGAAAAAAATCAACAAAACTGAAACAAGTAAACAATAAAAAGATCAGCAAAATGAAAATCTGATTTGTTGAAAAAATAAAAAAAAACTGAAATACCATTGGCCCAACTAACCAAAAAAGGAGAGAGAAGACCCAAATCATAAAATTAGAGATGAAAAAAGAAATGTAACAACAGACACCACGGAAATAGAAAGAATCATTAGAAATTAATACAAAGAGCTATATGCCAACAAACTGGGAAACCTAGAAGGAATGGATAGATTCCTGGACAATAAAATCTATTTATCCTTGAAGACATAGAAAACCTAAACAAACCCATTAACAAGATGGCAATTGAATCAGTAATAATGACCCTCCCAAGATAGAAAAGCCCAGCATCAGATGGCTTCACTGCCATCTGATGATAATGATGATTATTTAAAGAACTCCAATTCTTCTCAAGTTATTCAAAACAACTGAAAGAGAGGAAATCCTCCCAAATTCTATGAAGCCTGCATCACCTTAATTCCTAAACCTGAAAAAGAGACAACAGAGAAAGAGAACTTCAGAACAATTTCCCTGATGAACATAGATGCAAAAATCATCAACAAAATTCTAGCCAATCAAATCCAACAACACATCAGAAAGATCATTTATCTGGACCAAGTGGGATTTTCCTTGGTATGCAAGGATTTTTCAGCATTCACAAATCTATCAATGTGATATAACACATTAACAAACTGAAGAACAAAAACCATATGATTATCACAATAGATGTAAAGAAAGCATTTGATAACATATAATACCCTTTCATGATGAAAACTCTAAGCAAACTGGGTATATACGGAACACTTCTCAACACATTCAAGGCAATTCATGACAAATCCATGGCCAACAAATTAATGAATAAAAAAGGTTGGAATAATTCCAACTGAGGTCCAGAACCAGACAAGGATGTCCACTGTGTCCATTAGCCAAAGAAATCAAAGGGATTCAAATTGGGAATGAGAAAAAAAATCAAGCTATCCCTATCTGCAGATAACATAATTTTATATATAGGGAATCCAAACGACTTTACCAAGAGACTATTGGAATTCATAGAAGAGTTTGATAAAGTAGCAGGATATAAAGTCAATACACAAAAATGAACAGCATTTATATATACAGACAATGCCACAGTTGAGAAAGAACTTCTAAGATCAATCCCATTCACAATAGCTATAAAAACAATCAAATACCTTGGAATAAATTTAACCAAGGAAGGCAAAGATCTCTACAATGAGAATTGCAAGACATTAAAGAAATAAATAGAAGATACAAAAAAATGGAAAAATCTTCCATGTCATGGATTGGAAGAATCAGTATCATCAAAATATACATTCCTGGCTGGTGCCGTGGCTCAATAGGCTAATCCTTCGCCTGTGGCGCCGGCACACTGGGTTCAGGTCCCGGTCGGGGTGCTGGATTCTGTTCCAGTTGCCCCTCTTCCAGGCCAGCCCTCTGCTATGGCCCAGGAGTGCAGTGGAGGATTGCCCAAGTGCTTGGGCCCTGTGCCCGCATGGGAGACCAGGAGAAGCACCTGGCTCCTTGTTTCGGATCAGCGCAATGTGCCAGCCACAGTGCGCTGGCTGCGGCAGCCATTGGAGGGTGAACCAATGGCAAAAGGAAGACCTTTCTCTCTGTCTCTCTCTCACTTTCCACTCTGCCTGTCAAAAAATAAAAAAAAAATACATTCCTCCAAAAGATTTACAGATTCAACGCAATACCAATTAAAATACCAAAGACATTCTTCTCAGATCTACAAAAAATGATGCTGAAATTCAAATGATATCACAGGAGACCTTGAATAGCTAAAGCAATCTTGTACAGCAAAAACAAAGCTGGAGGCATCACAATACCAGAGTTCAAGACATACCACAAAGGCAGTTATAATCAAAACAGCTTGGTACTGGTACAAAAACAGATGGATAGACCAATGGACCAGATTAGAACCTCCAGGAATCAATCCAAGCATCTACCACCAACTTATATTTGACCAAGGAACTAAAACCAATTCCTGGAGCAAACAGTCCCTTAACAAATGGTGCTGGGAAAACTGGATTTCCACATGCAGGAATATGAAGCAGGACCTCTACCTTACCCCTTACATGAAAATCCATTCAAAATGCATTAAAGACCTAAATCTACAACCTGATACCATCAAATTACTGGAGAACATGGGGAAAATCCTGCAAGACATAGGCACAGGCAAAAAGTTCTTGGGAAAGACCACAGAGACACAGACAATCAAAGCCAAAATCAACAAATGGGATTATATCAAATTGAGAAGCTTCTGCACTACAAATGAAACACCCAAGAAAGTAAAGAGGCAATTGACAGAATGGGAAAATTATTTGCAAGCTATGCAACTGATAAAGGATTAATTACCAGAATATATAAAGAGATCAAGGAACTCCACAACAATAAAACAAACAACCAAGTTAAAAAAATGGGCAAAGGACTTAAACAGACATTTTTCAAAAGAGGAAATCCAAATGGCCAATGGACACATGGAAAAATGCTCAGGATCACAAGTCATCAGGGAAATGCCAATCAAAACCACAGTAAAATTTCACCTCATCCCAGTTAGAATGGCTTTCATGTAGAAATCAATAAACAACAAATGCCAGTGAGGTTGTGGGGAAAATGATACCCTAACCACTACTGGTGAGAATGCAAACTGGTAAAAGCATTATGGAAGTCAGTTTGAAGGTATCCCACAAATCTGATTATAGAATTACCATATGACCCAGCCATCCCACTCCTGGGTATTTCCCCAAGGGAAATGAAATCTGCAAATAAAAGAGTTATCTATGCCCCCAGGTTATCGTAGCTCACTTCACAATAGCTTAGAAATTGAATCAACCTAAATTCCTGCCAACTGAAGACTGCATAAAGAAATTATGGGATATGTACTCTGTGAAATACTACACAGCAGTAAAAAATGAGATCTGATCATTTGCAACAAAATGGATGAATTTTCAAAACATCATATTTAGTGAAATGAGCTAGTCCCAAAGGGACAAATACCATATGTTCTCCCTGATCTATGATAATTAAAAGAGCACCTAAAAGGAAATTTATAGGAATGAAGTTGGCACTTTTGACACTTTGAGAAAAAATGACTTGGATATATATCTCTTGCCTTCCTGTCAAGGAACATCTTTTTTCTTAAAGGATAATGGGACTGGGAATATGAGAAGGAGGAGGAGGTGGGTTGGGAGGGCAGGCATGATGGGAAGAATCACTATATTCCTAAAGTTTTATGTATGAAATTTGTACTCATTAAATAATTGGTTTCTTTTGGAAAAAATAAACAGTAACACAAATTCTGGTATTCTATGTATATTTACATTAAAATAATTTATTCATATCTATGAAATAAATACAAAATCAATTTCATATATGAATAATTTCATGACTGTTGGAAAGTTTTGTATTGTTTTTCACTTTGAACTTAACATTTTCATTTAATCTCCCAGAATTTTTCTACTGTATTACATTTTTATGCTTGAGAGAATTTATAATTCATCTTCTTATATTTTATTGTATGTATTTATTTGTATGTGTGTATTTTTATATATGTGTATTGAAAGAGAGAAATTAACTTCTTAAATTTCTTCTGTCATAATTTCTCAAAAGTTAGCTACTTATTATGGATTTAGATATTATAATTATTTGTAATAACTATTATGGAATATTTCAATCATTTGCAATTATTTATACAATTAACCCAAAAAGTAACATATATTCTAATAATTACTACAGGAGAACAAATAATCACAAATGGTACAGCTATTTTTTCCTATTAGATTATATGTCCAGAATGAATATAAATCACTGATAGAACAAAACAAGGATCAACACCAATTCTATTATTTTGCTTTGCTGGTGTAGGCTCTGGGGACATTTGGCAGCCAATTCCCAGTGGCTCTGAGGTATATCTTTCTTTAATAAATAAGTAGGTCCCTCTAATACAGCTAGCTTCCCAGAAGAGAGAGCATGTTAAGAGCAAAGATGTGAAATTTAGATGCTTGGAAGGTGTTGTCCCTGTTAACAACAACTGTGTAGCTACTCGGCAAATGTGTGTTTGCTCCTGATTCTACAACCTGGCCATGCTCAGCTGCACAGATTCCTGGTGGTCTCACCTGTGGGGACTCCCAGCATGTAATTATCTAGGGCTCAGGTCAGTTCGGGGGACTCTCAAAGGCTTACTTGCAGTCTGGCATTAGTGGAATTTTAGACAATGCACCATTATTCTCCATTCCAGCAGGACAGCCTGTGGGGAGCAACTGGGAGCAACTCGGACTAGACTAAGTTACTGGAATTAAGACTTATTCTATGCATCTGCTCTCCCACAATATGGCGCTGGGAGAGGAGGAAACAGCTTCTACACAGCTGCCTCCAGTTCAACCAATAAACTGTAGGACCTACTCCTGATTGGAGGAGAGCAGCGTACTCGGCGTGTGGGTAGCCGAGTTGGGATTGGTGGAAGAGGACTATAAAGGAGGAGAAAGACAACATGCACCAGGAACATCTAAGAGGAACATCTATCTGAAGGAACACCTGTGCAGCCCCCGAGAGAGCCGGCCGGCGGTGTGCCGCTCCCCCGCGGAAGTGGGGAAAGTGGCAGGGGGAACCGCCCTTCCACGGAGGTGGAAGGGATGGTAGCCAACCCGGGAAGAACCAGCAGCAAACCCGGGGAGGGCCGAGCAGACAAAAGAACAACACAGGGTCCTGTGTCTTTCCTCCACGAAGAGGGGGAGCGACAACAGCCCAGGCTTCTTTAAATGACAACCGGGTTTTAAGAGGACAAGTCCCCAATTACAAACACTTTCAGGCCTCTGCCTGTGTGACTTTCACTGAATGGAAAAAGGAAACAGCAAGGCCAAGTTCAGACTCAACATCAGAGGGGTCTACCAAAAGCATGGATCCTAGAGTGTAACTTAAGGATCTCCCACAATGCATCCTCAGGCTGCAGGGGAATGTCACTTCAACACACAAAACATACTCAGCATCATCCAGGACCTCCAAATCCTCAGCTGACAGTGGTCTCAGGCTTGAAGCCAATGATCTCGTTATTCGCATCAGGCCTGGACATGATGTGTGTGTGCTACTGAGCTTTCTTACTTCCTCTCCCATTTGAAAGCTGGAAGATGGGGTCTCTTTACATTTCTAATTACCTCACTCCCATGGTGATAGTATTTTTGCCAATATAACTCTTAAAGGATTTGTGGGAGGGGCTGGTGCTGTGGCATAGCACATAAAAGCCGGCACCTGTAGTGCTGGCATCCCATATGGGTGCCAGTTTGAGTCCCGGCTGCTCCACTTCCTATCCATTTCTCTGATATGGCCTGGGAGGGCAGTAGAGGATGGTTCAAGTCCTTGGGCCCCTGCACCCACGTGGGAGACCAAGAAGAAGCTCCTGGCTCCTGGCTTCAGACCAGCTCATGCTCCAGCCATTGCAGCCTCTGGCTCTCTCTACCTCTGCCTTTCAAATAGACAAGTAAATATTTTTAAAAAAAGGATTTGTGGGATTCTGTAGAATGTTTGAGTCTTTAACATTCTAACATCTACAACCACAGTGCTTTCTGAAGAGACTTCTTCCTGCATGAGATAAATTAGGCCGCTTTAACACAGCATTCTGACACTTCTTATATGCTTTCTACCCAGACACATGGGTCACGTACATGCTCTCACATGTCCCTGAGTGCATAACAAAGGTCCTTAGAGCCACCTTGATTTCTTTTTCATCTCAAGGCTATTTCTTACTTTGGGAACCTTGCCAGCTGGAGATACTGGAAGTGAGAAACAGTTGTGTTTACAAATCAGCAAGTCTTGATTCTTCTGGAGTCCTAAATTCTGTCTGTAAACTGAACTGTGGTGGACTGAGAAGGCCATGCCAAGATGGCCACGGGCAACAGAACCTGCCCAGCAATAGGCTGTGATTGGATGGTTTTGGAAACCACATGGCAATGGAGCCTGACTGGCAACAGGCTGTGACTGGATGGTTTCCGAAGCTGCCTGGCAACCAGGCATGATTGGTTAGGGCATAGACCGCTCCTTGACTGGATTGGCTGCCTTGGCTATATAAGCTGCTGTAGCAACTGAAATAAATGAGTCTGCAGGCTGATTGCCTCTGGCCTGCTTTCACCCGACTCCTGGTGTCTGTGTGGTGACTCTGCGCCTCTTGCCCCCATCACGCTCCTCCTCTCAGAACGAATCTACCTCAACACTGAGCAAGTCTCTCTCAAATTCAAGTCTCTCTTCCCACACCTTCTCACGGGCTGCCAAAAGAAGCCAGTGGGCACTTTTTACCTGGCAATATCCTCAGGCAGACTGGCAAGAGCTCTGGTGTACTACCTATCTTCCCTGAAGAAGCCAGTCTGCCAAGTGTCATATTACAGGACACCATTGGTCCCCAACAGGTTCAGTTCTTCACTGCTTCTCCAAGCCCCCCAACCCAAACAATCCATTTCTACATCTCCAGCCTTTGTCTTTGCTAGAAGTTCCCTGCCATGTTTCCATTTCTCCCACTGCTGCCCTCAAACTAAAGCTGGTGCCACGTTTTAAGTATGTTTGTTTTAACAGCATCACTTCACTTCTAGGTACCAGCTTCTATTTCAGTTATCTATGTAACTATATAGATAAAAAATGAGATAGGCACATCCCACATCAGAGCACCTGGGTTCACACCCTGGCTCTGGCTCCTGACTCCAGCCTTCTGTTAATACAAATCCTTAGAGGCATCAGTGATACCTCAAGTAATTGGGTCCTGCCACTCACGTGGGAGACTTGGATTGTGTTCTAGGCTCCTGACTTCATCCCCAGCCTGGCTCCAGATGTTGCAGGAATTTAGGGAGAGAATTAGCAGATGTTAGCTCTGTCTCTATCTCTCTGCCTCTCAAATAAATAAAATTTAAAATAAAAATGAAATAAATTAAACAATTACCCTACACCATAATAACAAAATCACCATGGTTTATTGTTCACAATTCTGCATTTCATATCAGGGATGGCTGAGTGGTTCTTTGACTGGTCTTGCCTGTGGTCACCCACAAGGCTGCATAATCTAGAGCTTAGCTGGGATGAACGATCCAAGGGGGAATCCATCAAATGCCTGGCGGACAGCAAAGCTGCCAGCTGGGGGCCAGGATAACCCTGACTTCAGGGTATATCGGGCCGTGTTCAAACAAAGCAAGCCCCAAAGGGCAAGCATTTAGCAATTCTCTCTCTGTCACATTTGCTAGTTCTTCGGAGGCCACAGCAGCCCCAGGGCCAGTGCTAGAGTCAGCATGGGAACAGACTACACAGGGTGTGGAAGGCTTGATCCACTGAAGAGCACCACAACAACCCCACCTCAATCGACATTCGCATCATTCCTTGGGGAGTTTCTGTGTCACACACCTCTTAAGATATGCCCACCCCTGTGTGAGAAGGGCTAAAAGAACAAACATTAAGTTACTAGCAAAATGAGCAGCACTGGGAGTGACTGAAGGGTAACCAAGGAGTGCAGCATGGCAGAATCAGTCTAGGAAACAAGAGACCATCATGCAGGAGAACTGGGCCTGGGATAGCAACTTGGCGCTATGAAAAAATGACAAGGTAGGAGCTTCCCAGTGTCGCTCCCCCATTCGCGGAGGAACGACACAGGACCCTGCGCTGTTCTTTCTGCCCAGCCCTTCCTGGGTTAGCTGCAGGTCCTTCCCGGGTTGGCTGCCGACCCCTCCACCTCTGTGGAGGGGCGGCACCCCCTGCCACTTTCCCCGCTTCCGAAGAGGAGCGGCACACCACCGGCCGGCTCTCTCGGGGGGCTGCTCAGGTGTTCCTTCAGATGTTCCTGGTGCATGTTGTCTCTCTCCTCCTTTATAGTCCTCTTTCACCAACCCAACTCTGCTACCCACACGCCGAGCATGCTGCTCTCCTCCAATCAGGAGCAGGATCAGCTCCTGCAGCTTATCAGTCAAATTGGCGAGAGGCAGCTGTGTAGAAGTTTTACTCCTCCCCAGCGCCATATTGTGGGAGAGCAGATGCATAGAATAAGTCTTAATTCCAGTAACTTAGTCTAGTCTCAGTTGCTCCCCACACCCAGCATTGTCAGGATAGAAGACAACCACATCCTACTGTTTCGCCTGTGCAGTAGGATTAGGAGTAAAATTTCAAAGGAAACTTCAGTGATCAAAGGGGTCTCAGAAGCACACAGGGGATTACTCGTGTACACGCCCAGAAAAGACACTCGCCACACTCTTGTCTCCCAGCTACTCTTAGATATATGAACAGGGGCCATCAGAATCATTAACCCTCGCTATGTAAGAGCCATCACCAATGACATGGTCAGGGTCAGCACTCAGGAAGCTCTGTGATGGGCATGCAGCAGACATCACTCATGATCTTCTTGTTTGAGCAATCACTAAGAAGATAAAACAGTAGGTTTCCTTTTCTTCTTTACATTCTGTAACTGCCTGGTTCCCATCTGCAAATGTATTTTGCAGCCCTTTCTCTAATCAGTCATCTGAAATTGCTATTCTCCTTGGCTTCTAGGTTCTCCTCTTATTTTGAGACATCCCCTCCCCTTGTAGATATTAAAATTGATTTCAGATGATGTCAGATAGTTTGCCTCCAACAATCAAATTTTTTTATTTATGTGAAAGGCAGAGCAAAAGAGAGAGAGAGAGAGAGAGAGAGAGAAACATGCTCCCACTCACTGATTCACTCCCCCAAATGGCCACAACAGCGAGGTCTAGGCCAGGCCAAAGCCAGGATCCAGGAATTCTATCCTGGTCTCCCATATAAGTGGCAGGGGCCCAAGTACTTAGTCCATCTTCTGTTGCCTTCCCAGGATCCTTTTCAGGGAGTTGAACTGGAAGCACAGTATCCAGGACTCAAATAGTCACTCTGATATGGGATACTGGTGTTGCAAGCAGCAGCTTACTATGCTGCGTCATAATAACTGGCATCCACTTAAACAATCTGAGTATCTACTATGGACTGGGGACAAAGAGGCATTGTTGCTGTCTAAGGAACTTGCCATCTATTAGGGAAATTGATAGAGTGTAATGAAATGCATGTTAAGCCTGCTGCATATACTGGATGCCGTAGGAGCACATCAATATGATAATAGATCCAGAATGGGAGGACACAGGGTTAGTTCTCAGAGGAATTGGTATCTAACTGAATATTTTAGGATGAATAAGATCTAACCATGCCAATATTTAAGGGTGCACATATTGTAAGCAGTGTGCTTCTAAAATACTTTCTGACTCTGGTGAAAATGTAAAGACATATTGCATGCTTACATGACAAATCTACAGAGGCCTGAGAGGGCACTGCCAACCACTTCAAACACTCTAGTGTGACAAGAGAACAAGTGCAAGGGGGAAATGCAAAAGACGCAGAGGCTAATAGAAGCTGGGTGCACAGAGTGGTGAAGGCTGTCCTTAAGAATGCCAGATGTGAAAAATGGAAGCCACGCAGTGGCAGATCCATGGATTGGTTAAGAAGAATGTGGGAGCAGGCCGCCAGACACAAGAAGCAGACATGGATATCCAGCCAGGGTCTTAACTACCATGTCCCTGCCAGTGGCCATGGTTGGGGTCTAGAGCCTAAACAGGTAGTGGAACACATTTTCCAACAGGAAAAGCATCACATATATGTGCGAATGTGCATTTGATCTAAATGTTTTCCAATGTTAAAAGGCCTAAGATACAAATATCTTTATAGGCAACCATCTTATCCACCATTTAACTTGTGCCTGATTTTGTCATAAGCTCAAATTCTAACTCCACTTCCAATTTTTGACACATCCCAAGCATATACCCCGTACAATAACCTGCTTCTTTCCTCTGAATCCAGCAGGCCGAAACACATAAGGGATGTGCTCTTTCTCCAAGGCAGTCAAAACATTTTCTTCTTTTGCTTTTCCCAACTTCAGAGAAAAGGTTACTCTCAACAATGTCCCTGTCAACTTCTAACATTTAGAACATCTGCTAAACTTGGACAAATTCACCCCCCCCCACACACACACACACACAAAATTGATTCTTGTCCAGGACATTTTCCAAGGAGACTCTGGGCTCCACAGAGAGCATTGTCACCACTCCACTCTTCATAAACGCCTCCCCCAATAATCTGTTCTTCCTCTATTATGAGGAAGGCTGCATTCCAAATAAAACATCCTTGGTTAGTAACTTCACTCTCAGCAGGAGGTAAACATGTAGGAGGAGGTAGGATGCCTTGCAGGAAACTGGGACTGCAGCATGAAAAATAAATCATTAAACACCAATGGAATTGCAGTCAATTCTTAATTAATCAGAGTATTTCCTACAGGTACAGTGAGGAGAGGAGGAAGGCTAAAATTCTAATTAAAATAAAATAAAACTGCCATCAATTACTGGATGTTAGGCAACAGGGACCTACAGTCAAGTCAACTCTCCAAAGGATTCAGAAAGGCCAAGATCTGATTCCCAATAATTGCAATCTCCTATGGGGAGGAGTGGATCAAAGCCCTGAACAGGCCTGGGTGAAGGAGGTGGACCCCCACAGGAGGAGACAAGTACTGCCAACAGCCTCTCGTCTCTCTGCACAGAAAAGTTCCTCAACACCTAGCCCAAAGAAGGGAAGGGAAGTCAGCACTTGGTCTCAGGCAGTCATTGTGTATCCTAGGAACTGAAATGTTAACGAACTAATCAGCTAATATACACTACCTGCACAGTGCACCATATTCTGAAAGGAGTGCTTAGGTAGGAGGTATGCCTAGTAATGCATATCAGAATGTGATAAACTTGATGCTCAGCTCAGCTCCCTGTTAGCTGGAGGAATGGAACACCTGTCTTAATCTCTCTGAGCTTCATTTTCCTACCCATATGATCCCACCTAATGAAGAGCCATCCATAAATCAACCACTCTAAAATTGTTTTCAGAGATTTCCAAAATGGCAGAATAGGAAAAGGAAGTACTTCTTTAGGCTAGGAGAAAACAGCAGCAAAAAAGTGAAGGAAGCACATTCCTGGGGAAAGTTGGAGAGACGTCTGCAGTGGAAACTCGACAAAGAAAAGAGGGAAGCTGTGGACCACTCGGGAAGCTGCAGATACTCAGCAATGAGGGTGGACACAACACCCAACCCCCACAGCTGAGAGCCAGCAAAGTGCAGCTTTGGGGAGCAGTGTGAGACCAGACTGTAGCAGCCCATGCCACTGGCAATACAGCCAGAGGAAGGAACTGGTGGAATTACACTCTTTGAGTACAGCCTGGAGCCCTAAGTGCTACAGGGTACCAGCCTAACTCAGTGAAAAAACAGAATGCTTCTCTATCCCCATCCCCCAACAAGGTTACCTAGAACCAGCTGTAAGAGGGCGTCATTTCGACATCAGTAGTAGTTGTGCCAGCTCTTCTGCACATTCCAACAACTAGTGGGGAAAAGGCACCATCATGATAACAGTAACAGCTGCAGCAGCTTGAGTGCATGCGTCCGGCAACAGGCCAGGAGAAGGCACCATTTTAAAACAGTAGTAGATACAGCAGGTCTTGTACACGCATGTGACCCAAGGATTATACAAAAAGAAAAATATCAGTGTTCCCCACTGTCTTTGAGTATGGCTGGGAGAACTGACAGGGGACTGGCAACACACACAGGACTGTGAGGTGCCCTAGCCACTCTACGTACACAGGCTCTGGGGCTCCAATCACCAAGAGGAGCATACACAGTCAGCTGGCCCTTGGAATGTCTCTGCCTCTCTGTGAATGGGATAGGCTAGTGGGGCAGAGTGGACCCTTTGTACCACATGACTGTGGGAGCTTGTGTGCTGAGATAGTGGAAACCATGTGAGTGCAAGATAGGATGCAGGATGTAGCTGGGTCTCTGGGCAATAACTGTGGTACCAAAGACTCAAAGCTCCCTCGTTAACTGCAGTAGGTCATTGTACCAGGATCTGTTTGACATGAGGACTGCACAGATCTTTTGTGCAGTTTATGTGGCAGTGTGGGTAAATGTTGCAACCACCATGGGCTAACACAGGGCAGTAATCACCCTTGAAGAGAAGAGGTGAAGGTATGATTACACTGACAGAAGTGATCATACCCTCTTCCACATTGACAAGTAAGGAGATATAACATGCCCAACTTGGCTATCACCTGGATACGTGCACCATGCTGGAGCACTGACCAAGGTTCCCTGGCAACACCCAGCACACTTCTGGATATTCACTGAAAGTTCTAGAAGACACTCCACTAAGACATAGGGGCATAATTCAAAGTTAAAATCGCTCAGGAAAAAAAGCAACAAGTATTCCCATAAAAATTTAGTAAAACAAGAATAAGGATAAAAAACATGACGCCCCCAAACACACACAGCAACACTTCAGTATTAGAATGTGATGACAAAGAGACTGATGAAATGCCTGAAAAGCAATTCAGAGATGAATCCTAAAATTACTCAGAAACAATGAAAAGCAAATTCATGAGTTAAAGAAATCCATATATAACATGGAAGAAAAATTCTCCTATGAGATTAAGATTTTTAAGAGAAATCAAACTGGAATATTAGAAATGAAGATTTCAAAATGTCAAATAAAAATATGGTGGAAAGCCTTAACAAGAGATTGGGTGGGACAGAAGAAAGAATATCCAAGCTAGAAGTAAGCCTCGGCAAATTCAAAAAAATCAAAATTATACCATGCATTTTCTCTCATCACAATGGATTGAAGCTTGAAATCAACAACTCAAGAAGCTCTAGAATATATGCAAACACTTGGAAACTGAACAACATACTACTGAATCCCCAGTGGGTCATAGAAGAAACCAAAGGAGAAATCAAAAAATTTCTGGAAATGAATGAAGACAATACAACATATCAAAACTTATGGGAAACGGCAAAAACAGGGTTAAGAAGGAATCTTACAGCAATTGGTGCCTACATCAAATAACTCAAAAGTCATAAAATAAATGAGCTGTCAATGCATCTCAAGGATGTAGGGGGAAAGAAACTAAAATAGTAGGAGGAAAGACATAATTAAAATTAGAGAATAAACAAAATTTAAATTAAAAAAAGTGATCAGTGAAATGAATAGATGGTGTTTTGAAAAAATAAACAAAATTGACATGCCATTATCACAGCTAAACAAAAAAAGAAGACACAAATCAATAAAATCAGATACAAAAAAGTAAATGTAACAATGGATAACATAGAAAACAAAAGATCAGGAAATACTACAAAAGTTACATGCCAATAAATTAGAAAATCAAAAAGCACTGGACAGATTCTTAGTCACATACAATCTTCCAAAATTGAGTCATTAAGACATAGAAAACCTAAAAAGAACAATAACCAAGACAGAAACTGAGTCAGTAAAAAATACCCACCCAGCAAAGAAACCTCGGGATGGGATGGCTTAATGGCTGAGTCTAACAGATTTTTAAAGAAGAACTAATTCTAATTCTTCTTGATTTATTCAAAACAATTGAAAGGGAGGGAAGCCTTCCAAACCCCTTCAATGAGGCCAGCAACACCTTAATTCCAAAACCAGAAAAAAGATACAACAGAGAAAAAGAACTGTAGGCCAACATTTCTGATGAACACAGATGGAAAAATCATCAACAAAATACTAGCCAATCAAATCCAACGACACATCAGAAAGTTAATTCACCTGGACCAAGAGGGAATTGTCCCTAGTATGCAGGATGGTTCAACATTCACAAAACAATAAATGTGATACATATTAACAAACTGCAGAATGAAAACCATATGATTATCTCAATAGATGGAGAAAAACCACTTGATAAGTTCAACATCCTTGCATACTGAACACACTAAGCAAACTGGGTATAGAAGGAACATTCCTCAACACAATCAAGGCAATTCATGACAAATCCATGGGCAGCCTCTTATTGAACAAGGAGAAGTTGGAAGCATTTCCACTAAGATCCAGAACTAGACAAGTATATCCACTTTCACCATTGATATTAATATTGTCCTGGAAGTTTTAGCCAGAGCCATTCAGCAAGAAAAAGAAATCAAAGGGATACAAATTAGAAAGGAAGAAATAAAATCATCCCTATTTGGAGATGAAAGGATTCCACATATAGAACAACCTAAAGACTGCACAATAAGACTACTGGAACTCATAAAACAGTTTGGTAAAATGACAGCATATAATTTTAACACACAAAAAAAAATAAATAGCCTTTGTATACACAGATAATGCCATGGCTGAGAAAGAACTTCTAGATCAATCCATTCACAATAGCTACCGAAAAAATTAAATACTTTGGAATATATCTAACCAAGGATATCAAGGATCGATACAATGAAAATTATAAAACATCAAAGAAAGAAATAGAAGATGACACAAAAAAGGGAAAAATCTTCTATGTTCACAGATTGGAAGAATTAATATCATCGGGGCCGGCGCCATGGTTCACTTGGCTAATCCCCCACCTGCGGCACCAGTATCCCATATGGGCACTGGGTTCTAGTCCTGGTTGCTCCTCTTCCAGTCCAGCTCTCTGCTGTGGCCCGGGGGAGGCAATGGAGGATGGCCCAAGTGCTTGGGCCCCTGCACCCACATGGGAGACCAGGAAGATGCACCTGCATCCTGGCTTCAGATCAGTGTAGTGCCAGCTGTTGAGGCCATTTGAGGGGTGAACCAACGGAAGGAAGACCTTTCTCTCTGTCTCTCTCTCTGTCTGTAACTCTACCTGTCAAATGAATTTTAAAAATTTTTTAAAAAAGAATATCATCAAAATTTTCATAATACTGAAAGCAATTTACAGACTCAATGCTATCCCAATCAAAATATCAAAGATACTCTTCTCAGATCTAGGATAAATGATGCTAAAATTTATATGGAAATGAAAGAGACCCTGCATAGCCAAAGCAATCTTAAGCAACAAAAACAACATGAAAGGCATCATAACATCTGTTTGAAGACATACTTCAGGGCATTAATAATCAAAACAGCCTGGTACTGCAGCAAAAATAGACATGCAGTCCAATGGAACAGAATAGAAACTCCAGAAGTCAATCCACACATCTACAACCAACTAATCTTTGACAAAGGTACTAAAATCAATCCCAGGAGAAAGGACGGTCTCTTCAACAAAGGGTGGTAAGAAAATTTGATCTCTGCATGCAGAAGTATGAAACAAGACCCCTACTTCACAACACCTACAAAAATCAACTCAAATAGATCAAGGATCTAAATCTACATCCCAATACCTTCAAATTGCTAGAGGAGAACAATGGGGAAACTCTGTAAGATATCGGCATAGGTAAAGACTTCTTGGAGAAGATCCTAGAAGTACAAGCAATCAAAGCCAAAATTGACAAATGGGATTATGAGATTACATCATATTGAAAAGCTTCCTCACTGCAAAAGAAACACTCAGCAAAGTGAAGATGCAACCAACAGAATGGAAGGAAATATTTGAAAACTATTAAACTGATAAAGAATTGATATCCAAAATCTATAAAGAGTTCAAGAAACTCAACAATAGCAAAACAATCCAGTTAAGAAGTAGGAAAAGGGCTTGAACAGTCATTTTTCAAAAGATGAAAAATAAAATGCCCAACAGACACATGAAGCAATGCTCTGGATCCCTTGCCATCAGGGAAATGAAAATCAAAACCACAATGAGGTTTCACCTCACCCCCATTAGAATGGCTCTCATACAGAAATCAACTAACACTAAATGGCAGTGAGGATGTGAGGAAGAAGGCACCCTAATCCACAGCTGTTGGGAACGTAAACTAATATAGTCATTATGGAAGACAGTACGGAGATACCTCAGAAAGCTGAAAACAGATCTACCATATGAGCCAGCAATCCCACACCTGTGAACTTACCCAAGGGAAATGAAATTGGCATATGAAAGTGTTATCTGTACTCCCATGTTTATTTCAGCTCAATTCATAATAGCTAAGATAGGAAATCAGCCGAGATGTCCATCAGCTGATAGCTGTTAAAAAATTATGGTATATATATACTACGAAATACTAGTCAGCTGTAAAAAAAAAAAAAACACTGTCTTTTGCAACAAAATGGATGCAACTGGAAACCATTATACTTAATGAAATCAGCCAGTCCCAAAAAGACAAATATACATTTTCCCTGATCTGTGGTTATTAATAGAGTAGCAAAAAAATGTAATGTATAGGAGTGAAATCCACATTTTTAGCTTCTATGATTGTTTGCAGCCCTGAAAGGTGTTTTTCTTCTTATTATTTTTATTTAATTGAGAAGTAGAGTTACAGACAGAGGGAGAGACAGACAGAAAGGTCTTCCTACCACTGGTTCACTCCCCAAATGGCCACAATGGCCAGAGCTGGGCCAATCTGAAGCCAGGAGACTGGAGCTCTTCCACGTCTCCCATGTGGGTTCAGGGTCCCAAGGACTTGGACCATCATCCACTGTTTTCCCAGGCCACTAGCAGAGAGTTCGATCAGAAGAGGAGTAGCCAGTATGTACCCATATGGGATGTTGGTACCACATGTAGAGGCTTAGCCCATTATGTCACAGTGCCAGCCCATTTTTCTCTCCTTAAAAAATATTCTCCTCAGGCCTCCCCTAAAAGAGACAGAGGGAGGAAGGGGCTGAATTATAATAAAGGGATTCAGCTGTGCTTTATCACGACACAGGCCAGGGAGCTCATGGGTGAGAGAGGGAGATGGAATAGTTACACCCCAAAAGCACTGAACCTATCAGGAGGTTTCAAAAGGGAGCAGCTCAATCCCATTTCACAGCAGGTTTTCCCCCTCAGGGCACTTGAGGCCTGAGCATGCCCAGTTCTTATTGTGTTTGTAATATATATTGTGTGGCTCCCAGATTGGAAAAGCCAGGCCTTCGCTTTCCTGTCTATCCACATTCTCCTCCCAAACTCTCCTCACGTCTGCACTGCGGCTGTTTGTCCCTCACAGCATTTTGGCTTAGACTGCCGAGGCTGGCTAAAACTTCCAGGATAATATTGACTATCAATGGTGAAAGTGGAATACTTTTCTAGTCCTGGATCTTAGTGGAAATTCTTCCAACTTCTCCCCGTTCAGTAAGAGGCTGCCCATGGGTTTGTCATAAATTTCCTTGACTAAGTTGAGGAATTGTTCCATACTAGCAGGAGGGCCTGTGGAGACATGACCTGAAGTGGGTCCTGAAGGACCTTAGCATTTGGACAAGCAATGTACAGGAGAGGATTCCAGACAGGGCAAGAGCAGAGACAAGTGTGCAAGGTGGAAATCCCAGAGCACAGGTGCAGGGGATTGGGTGGGGCATTGGCAGATGTCTGCCAAGGAATCATAAGGTCAGTTCAAACACATCTATGAACGCCAAAGTCACTATTTCAGTCCTCATGTATTTTCTCACTTCAAATGTCAGTTTAGAAACCTTACCTGTATACCCAAAAGACTGGGGAACAGAGACTAAAGCAGAATGCATACAGCCATGTTTACAGTAACGTGAGCAGGAAAACAGCTAGTGAGGAGGAGCCCATGTACTGCCACTCCAAGGCACCAAAAAAAAAAAAAAAAAAAAAACCACTCCCTTCTATGCAGACCAATGTTGTTGAAGTTTCACAGACTTAAAACTATCTGCCTATATCCCCACAATGATCTTTTTTTAAAAAAATACTTATCTGAAAGAATTACAGAGAGATAAATATCCATCCGCTGGTTCACTCCCCCAGATGGCCGCAATGGTCAAGGCTGGGCCAAGCCAAAGCCAGGAACTTCATCTGGATCTTCCACGTGGTAGCAGGGGCCAAAACACTTTGTCCAGGCCATTTCCAGGGATCTGGATCAGAAGTGGAGCACATATGGGAAGCCAGCATCAGAGGTGGTGGCTTTACCCACTACATCACAATGCCAGCCCCCTCACAATCTTTAGTTCATAATACTGTCATAATAATAAGATTACCATGGCTGACACTCTGACTCCCCTCATGCATCTGATACCATGACACTTCTGAGATTTCCAAAAAAGAATAAGGAAATGTTTGTACTCAAGCCCCAGCCCCAACTCCATCTATGTTGAATATTCAATTAAGCCTCACCCCAGACATCCACCCTATGCTCCCAGATCATACAAAATGACCCCAAACCTTGTTAACTGTGACTATCTTAAGTTTGTCTGCACTGATTCCTTGAGTGTATGATTTCTCTTCAAGTAAATATCATGTCTCTGCTTATCTTCCCTTATGTCTCGTTCATGAATTCCTTCTTGTGTGTAGACAAGAACCTGGACCAAAACTAGCAAGGGGGCCATGCCACAACATTAGCAGCATGATTCACAATGGCCAAGTGCTAGAAATAACCTAGAAGTCTACTGACTACATAAAGAAAATGTAGTTTGCTCATACAAAGGAATAGTATTCAGCCTTTAAAAGACAGGAAATTATGGTACATGCTACAACATGGGTGAACCTTGAAACTAGTACACTAAGTGAAATAAACCGGGCACAAAAAAAGACAAGTACTATAGGATTATACTTACATGAGGTACTTAGAGTGGTCAAACTCAGAAAGACAGAAAGAAAACTGGGAAGTTACTGTTTAAGGGTTCAGAGTTTCAGTTTGGGAAGATCAAAGTACGCCAGGGGCTGAGAAGCCAGAGAGATGTAAGACAGTGTCTCCCTGGAGGAACTGCACATTGTTCCTGTGATTCCTGTGTGTTTTCTTATACACAGATATTTCAAATGTGCCATCCCCACGTTGACATGCTCTTTTGAAAAGGACCCTGCTTGTCAAATGGTCTAATTTGTCACGAAGGAACAACACTGGGGTTACTTGGAATGATCCTCCCTCTTCTCAAGTGCCAAGCTCCTGACATCACACTACCCCTACTATGGTTGGTTTACCACAAATTCTAACACTGGAGCACGGACCAGTTTCTCAAGGCTTCTAATTAAATCACCACATAATGTGTGCATGCTGCTTTTGATTATAGCCTTCTTCCCCGCTTATTGACTTGATATCAGCGGAAAACAGAAAATGCCAGTTTCGATTGTTGGATAACAAGAACCAGGAGCCATTAACATTTTACAAGCCTAGGATTCCAAACACTTGAGTTTCTCTCTTTCCTAATCAGACTCTTCCAGCACAGCAAAGCCTGAAAGCCAAGGGATGAATTCAACAGAGACTTTTCATATGCTAAATTATGAAGCTATGAAGCTATGAAGCACTCACACAAAGATGAATGATAATTTCTCAAATGAATAATAAAATTACTCTCAGTAAATGAAACTAATGCAAAGGCAGTTATTTATACCCCAGACTTTGATTAAAAAAATAAATAAGAGTTCATTTCTGCAGGAGTTTTGGAGTTAGAATTGATGTCATTTATAAAGATGACTGCCAGTCAGCCCCTCCTAATAACTGAAGTGGATAAAACTCATTCTGGCTCCCATCCATTTCTGAGCATCTCTTCCCAAGATCCCTCCAGGTAACCAGAGAAGCACTGCTGAGTGGCATACAAGGGTTTTGTTTTCCTGGTAATTTTGCTGATTCACAAGCAAGTTTGGTTGTGTTCATCCTCTAAAATATCCAGGGCATAAACTAAGAGTACCAGCAATTTCAGGGACATGGAAAGAAATGTCCCATCTCGGCTGGCACGGAGTTTCCCCAGTCCCATGCATTTCTGAGTCTTAGGATCACTGTGATTTTGTGAGTAGGGCTAAATGGCATGACTTCCCCCTCTTCCTTGCTCAACCACAACGGCTTAGTTATCATTTGATCCCCATAGTTCTCTCCTCTGAGCTCTTTGACTTTGGCCCCTTTTGGCAATGCATGGGGATAAGACCACCACTTGATGATATCTAGATGGGGCATTTGTGGAGACATAGGAAAAATAGTTAACAGTCACTGGAAGAAGGAAGACGGGTCTGTATTGGGAGGGTAAAAGATGAGTGGGGATGTGTGTTCCAAGATGGATTCCTAGAAAAAACCAATTCCAGCATTAAAGCTTGAAAACGCTCAGGTGTTATCCAGGTGGATGCAATGGAAATGATGTGAGCTTGTACTATTGTAGAGCAGTAACTATTGACTATAGGTATGATTCACTTGGAGTGTGATTTTTCTTTCTGTACTCAGGCTGGCTGTCTAATCTACATACTCATTTTTAAGTATTATTAGGGAGCCTTAGATTTTCAAACAATGAGCCATAGTGAAAGAATACCAGTATACTGTAGTATTACAAGAGTCCAAAGTCCAAGAAGGTTCACACATAATATTCATTAATTCTAAAAAACCACCTGAATTCCGATTGGGAGAGTTATTTACCTTTATTTACAGGAGTGACTGAGGGCAGCCAGTCAGTGAAAAAGTAACCTGCCCCATCTGGTTGGAGTATAGCATTAAATAGTAAACAAGCACAAAGGGTTCCGCAAAGATACAAGCCGCAGCTGTGGTCAGCTTGCCTTCACCCTTCCCATGAGATGCTACTCACGTTTTTCCCTGGGTGGGAGGGGTCAGGGTGGCTGTCCCAGAGGCCACCTCCAGAGCATACAAGGCTATTTCTCATGGGGAATGGCAGTTTTATGAACCATCCTACATGGGTCATTTTCCTGAGACCCCATTATATGCCAGACCATTACACAAGCACCTAACTGCTCTCACAAAAAATCCTCTGGGGAAAAAACTCAGATCATCTCCCTTTAAGAAATGATTAAAGCAAGCTCAGAGAAATTGAGTGCCCATTGCACTTAAGTAGCCAGGACACCAGACCAGGTGTTACCCAGCCTGCCTACCACGTGTGTTACAAGTCTAACTTTACCTGTGCTGTTTTTGAATCTGCTACAAAACTAGCTCTACCACTTTGCCTGACCTGGCATCAGTTTGCATAGCTGGTTCTGCAAATAGTGAAGAGAACCTTCAAAGAGAAAAGCTCCTGGCACAGGGGCCCTCAGAGCAGAGTGGGAGCAGACAATGAGGGGGCCACCTGATGCCTAAAGAGGAGGTATAGTGATTATAGGTATGATTCACTTGGAATGAATCATACCCATAGTCGATAGGAAACACTACATGTACACTCAGTGTACATCTACACTAAGATCACATGGCTTCCATTACATTCCACCTGGTTAACATTTGAGAGTTTTCAAGATTTAACCCTGGAGTTGGTTTTTCAAGGAACCCATCTTGGAATGCTTGCCCCCCACCCATCCTCTGAGGACAAGAAGTTACATGTAAATGAGCAAATAAAAGGCATATAATCGAAATGCAGAACACCCTCTCAGAGTGCACTGTTATCAGAGGAAAGCTCATAAACAACCTGACAAAATTCATAGTAGTGTAAATGTTCTTGTTAACTGATACAATTCAGCCAGGCCTTGAAGGTCCTGGAGGCTCACTGCCCAGCAATGTCTGCAAGAGAACTCCTTTCTTTCTGCCACTCTGCTGCTCCTCCCAGTGTCCTGTGGCTCCCCCGTGGTCTGAGCATGCCTCCAGGAGTTGCCAGGGACATGTGCTGTGTCAGGTATTTTCATGGCATATGTTTTCCAAAATTCCCAGGAAAGTCTTGAAATTCATTGTGATTATATAGATTTGAGTCACAGTCCATCCCCAACTCATATGAACCCAAAAGTTGGGAAATGCCAGTTAGTTCAGCTGTAGTCAAATGCCTTTTCCCTTAAGTCGAGGATTTAAATCAATTTCGCTGAAATCTCATTCATTCCTTGTCAGATATTATGAGTTATTAAATAAAAAAGAATATTGAGATTACCAAATGTCCACTATAAATATTAATGATATTAATGTTACCTGACAGACATAAACAAGCAAGAACCTTTGATTTATAGAACATTTAATGGTAGGTTTTCTTTAACTCAATGTCAACAACTGGAAGTCTGAAAAAAAATGAATTCAAAAAACTGAGAAGTCTCTTTGACTATACTAATGAAGGTTCTAAGAACCTTCTACGAAGACGATAACTCACCAAGGCCAATAACTTTTAAATGATCGATTTTATTTTTGTTCTTGTTTCTGCTTTCTTCAGTCTTCACCTCTATATAAAACCAACCTTTGCTGCTCCTCCCACTGGAACACTGACTTCATTTTATAGAATGAAGTGCTGCTCCATTTTAGACTTGAAAATGGAGTAAATCAAGACCTTTAGAAAGAAAAGAGCTCAATAATTCCTTGTTCTCTTTTAAACTCTTTTGTCCATAATCAAACCATCACTGTTAATTACCTGAGCTACTATTGTATTAAGTGCTCCTCAGAGTGCAAAGTTTCTGTGGAAACTACAGCAAACAAGATCTTTAGTTCAATCTTTGTATTTCCAAGGCCCTGAAATGAAATGTTATCTATGTCACTCCTCAAAAGAAATCATAATTGTCTTATTTTCATGCAGTTGATGCAAATATTCTTCCTTTGGTTAGGGTAACTGAGGCAACCCCACATGTAAGCCCGTGCAGTAACATTCAGTTGTATCCCAAACACCCCAAGATCAGCTTGCATGAGGCAAATTACTCCTGTAGCTAGGAACTGTTAAGGTGCCCAGACTTCTCAAAATTGTCAACCCCAGATGAAGCCAAACAAACAGTAAACCTCCCATACAGGTGACAGAACTTGGCTTTTCACAATTGGATCTAGAGTCATTCAGGAAGGGTCAAACGTCTAGCCTAGCTCTGTTGGACAATGATCCAAAAGCCAGCACTCACTGACTGGAGTCCCCAACCTCCTTAGCCTGCCCCCTACTGTACCTTAAGCCACTTCACCTCAAGCTAGCTTGTATCTAGTTTTCAAATCTGTTTCGTTTCTCTTCACCCTTGGAGACATGGCTCACTTCTGTTTACCACATGTGTCTTATATTACATAATTTGTAATCATTCCAAGATCAATGCTCAGTTTAACCCAGGTCAGCCCCCAGGGATCATAAACCCAGAACAAACTTTAGGTTGTCCTTGACCTCCAGGTCAACTCCCAGAGCCTCTATTCTTGAGTGAAAAAAAAAAAAAGTTTTAAATAGATGTATGTGAGTATATGTTTTTCAAAGGAATATTAAAGGATATGAGGAGATATGAGTTATAAACTCAAATATATGAAGAAAGAGACTTTTTTGAACATTATCTCCTTTTTCTCTTATTTCCATAATATTATAAAGTGAAAGTAAATTACACTTTCCCGGAATCCCCAGTCTGTTAAAATTATTTAACGGTGTAATTTGACAATAGATGCAGTTTTCATTCTGAGAATATTCTATTCTTAGAAATCATTTGATTAAAATGTACAATTATCCGATGGCCAAGGTAGTTTAATAGATGAAACAATCAACTCTCTCTGACCTAAGAATTCTTCTATTTTGTATTTCCCATAAAGCAGTAATTCCTCCTCTACAAATACTTAGTAAGGCATTATGAAATACTTTCAGATTATTTTAATACCCAAAAGCACAATATAAAGCTTTATAGGTTCCCCTTACACCCATGAAAAATGGCAGCTTCCTCTATTTTCCTGAAGTCTGTGTAAACTTAAGATGAGGAGTCTACAGAGTGTTGAGTCAACAGATACCTTCACTCACTCTTTTTATTTTTATATTTTTAAGAGATTTATTTATTTCATTTAAAAGAGTTACACACAGAGAGAGGGAGAGGCAGAGAGAGAGAGAGAGAGAGAGAGAGAGAGAGAGAGAGAGAGGTCTTCCACCCGCTGATTCACTCCCCAGATAGCCACAACAGCCAGAGCTGCACCAATCCAAAGCCAGGAGCCAGGAGCTTCCTCCAGGTCTCCCACATGGGTGCAGGGGCCCAAGGACTTGGGCCATCTTCTATTTCTTTCCCAGGTCATAACAGAGAGCTGGATCAGAAGTGGAGCTGCCAGGACTTGAACCAGCGCCCATATGGGATTCTGGCACTGCAGGTGGCTGCTCTACCCGCCACACCACATTGCCGGCCCACCTTCAGTCACTTCCATTCTCATTATAATTCAATGTCATCCAGAGACAAGGCACTAAATTGTCCCCACTATGCAGGACACTGAGCCTTTGGTTTCCATTTTTAAGGAGCTAAAAGTGGGAAGCAGAGAGTAGGGATGAGCGTGCACAACATTAATTTAGATCAGTGTCTAATCATGAAATATCCAAGCCTCAAGAGTGTGCTGTCCTGTGGGGACAAAACAACTTGCCTGACACTACCTCCAGCTTTGCACAGTGCTGGTGAAGGATACACGCACTGCCTGTAGCCCACAGCCACTTCTAGGGCTGCTCTCCACAAAGGACACGTGGTAAACATGGCCAAGCCACATCCTCGGCTCCCATCAAACCTGCACAGCACCTCATGTGAAGACACTCAGGAAGACACTCCATTCCTGAAGCAATTTGGATGTCTGCATTCCCACGCAATCCAGGTCTCTGTCCAGACAATGAAGCCAGTTGTGCACATGAGAGGCCCAGACTAGAAAATGAAGAGAGGGTTTCCCATTGCAATAGGTTGCTGAGATTGGCTCTTTGTTCACCTCACTGATCACCGATGTTCATCCAGCTGATACGAATGTCTGGATCCTTCCCAGATAGATGAAAGTCACTGCAGCCCACAGAATACCCAGCTTCTCTCAAGAACCCCAAAACCTCTCGGACCTCTCTGTACCTCATTCAATCCCCATTCATTCTGCCACATATTATTGAGTTTCTGACCCTTCCCCATCTGATCAATACTACTTGCTGATGCCTTCTCCAAAGACTGATCCTTCTCTAACACATTTCTTCAGTCCAAACCTTACTGCACAGACAAAATGTCAGGCCTCATGCTGACTCAAACTGCTGCTGTTCAGGGGAGCATTCTTCTCAAGCAGCAAGTCTCTTTTCCCAACACACCCAGTGGAAAACCAGGAAGAAAGCATAGTGATGGATTGGCACAAGGTAAATAGCGCCTGATGTGGGGACCTTCTGATCACAATGAGAAAGAGGAAACAGATTCTGAGAATAACCAAAGGAAGAAAAAACTTTGCAATGCATCCAGAGGAACTGTTTTGGGGTGCTCCTTTGGGAAGGCCTTCTTCTGTCCTCTCCTGATGGGCTCTTGGTGCAAAACTAATCACATCACACCCTCTTCTCTCTGAGCACACTCGAGCCCTCCACTAAAGCCCATGTCCTATTCCAACACGGTCATGTATGCACACCTCTCTCCTCTCTGCTTGAATGTGGAGTTTGCTACATAAGAAGATTCAAGATGAGTGATGTGTTGTTGGATTTAATTTGCCATGATTTAGTCTATTTATTTAGCATTTTTATTGCAAAAGTAAGGATAAATGAATCCTATTCACAGTAATCAGACAGGTACCAGTCGCTAATCGGCCAGTCTACCTCAAGTCTTACCCCGTCAATCTTTGCCAAAGCCCAAAACTACTACTTTGTGAAATGTAAATGATTATTGAATGTTTTAAGGGCATGCTGCAATTAATGACAAAAAACATAGGATTCTTTTAAAATAATCAAATATTTAAATAGTTACTTCGCTGTCCCAGGAACATCTCTAGGTATTTTCCAAACACTGATCACTTAATTTCATAACTACTCTATGATCTAAGTACTGTTAGGACCATAACAGAGTTGAGTGAGATGACAAGGTCACCCAACATTGGGTCTAAGACAGACAGTCTGCATCCAGCTGCACATGGATATGGAGTAGCAACTTAAAAAAAAGAAAGAAAAAAAACTTGTTATATAAATTGCAGACTTACTGATATCCAATTATTTTATTATCACTAAAGGAAAAGTGTACCAAATATTAAGAATGCAATTTAGAGGTTATGTCTTTGAATTATATGTTTGAAGTTAACCAGTTTCTTAGTCAACATATGAAAGCAACTTGAATAGCACAATGTCATGTAACCTTTCAGAATACTTTCCTTTATGGTTTTATCATAGCTGCTTTTTTCTCCCCATGAATACGGCAAGGCCATCAAAATAAATTGCTCTCAAATAAGCAATGCAATATTTTATGTTCTGGTCTTTTAAGAAGTCTTTATGCAGTTCTGTGATGTATCTAAAGATATAAAATATGGTAAAATGAGAGGTGACTGGCGGTACACTTCAAGAAAATTTAAAATTCAAGAGTTATTTGCATAAAAACAACAGAACAGGAAAACATCAGAACAGTGTGCAAACATGGTATAATGTTATCTTAACTAAGCAGCAGTCATCAAAACAGTCAAGTTAGACTCAAACTAGATCAATGACGTTTTCTTTATATCACCTTGAATACCCAGCCAGTGCTGAGCAACAGTGATCAACAATGCATTTCAATGATGAGGACGTGAAGACTACTGGGCTAGAAACCCTACGAGTTTGGATGATGTTCTAGGCATAAAGCACAAGGTGTAAAACCACAAGTAATCCATTTAGACTTACTGACCCAGACTGCTTACCCTTGTTAGTGTTAGAAGCATTGGTGTAGGTACAGATAACTAAACCTCTCCATATTTCATTTGTAAAGTCGCATAACTCCCTATGTGGTAAGTCTGCAGTGAGGACTGCATGAAGGAGGTGAAGCCTCCCTCTTGTTGTAGGGGAGGCACCTGAGAGTGAAAGGAAAGAGAAGGGCTGGGAGTCTGGTGGTGAAATCTCAAGCTGTCATCCATTCCCTGAAAGACCCTGGACTTCATCTCTGTGTCTCAGCTTCTGCAGCTGTAAACGAAGTAACAGTGCCCTTGATATGACTTTTATGGGGATCATAAAACAATGCATGTGAAGTGCATGAGCACTGTACCTTAAACAAAGAGAGCATCCAAATATGTATCAGCTCATAGTATCACTGTCATTACTATTGGTTTTACATTCACAAACTAACAAAAGGTTTTTTTTTAATTTTCACTTATTATTAGTGCTAAATCCCATTTCTTCCTTCTTTTCCCTTACTTCACTAACTTCTCAGTTTCCATGAGTCTAAAAATGGCTCCTTTTTGAAGACTTAGATTCTGGTTTGATTTATTTGGAATTACATGTTTACCTGCTCTTTCAGGAAGATTTTGTAGTTCTGCTGCAGGGTTAGGTTGGAGTCATATGCCTGTGTTCAGGTTAACAGAATACCAAGAGACACAATGTATGACAATTCCATGCCAAGCCTAACTGCCCCGGGCAGTCCTCCATGCATATGAGGCCTGTGTTGAGGAACCCACAAACATCATGAGAGGAGGAGCTTGGATCCCTGAGTCACAGCCTGCAGCAGAGTCTCCCACGACAGCGATCCAATCTGCACTGATCTTTGACACAAACTAGAAATGAACTTGTACTGGGTGAAAGCACTCAAACTCCAGGGCTTATTTTTATCACCTCTAGCCTATCCCTCTCTAACTAATAAAACTGATAATCAAGAAGTAGAATTAGAGGCAGGCATTGTGGCACAGCAGGTTAAGCTACCACCTGCAACGCCAGCATCCCATACAAGCACTGGTTCAAATCCTGGCTACTCCGCTTGCAATCCAGCTCCCTGCAGAAGACAGCCCAAGTACTTGTCCTCAGAAACCTAAAAAGCACAGAATCTGTCCTGTCTGATAAATCAGAGGAAGAAGTTTGCTAAAAGTATGAAGAATCTGAACTGGTGTTTGGCCTCGTTATTAAGGTGCTGGTGGGAGGCCAGCATTTCATACTGGAACACCTAACTGCTATGCCAAACCTGAGTTCTAATAGTTTCACTCCTGATTCCAACTCCCTGCTAATGGGTGCCCTGGGAGCCAGCAAGTCATGACTCAAGTACTTGGGTCCCTGCCACCCATGTGGGAGACCCAGATGTAGTTCCAGACTCTTGGCTTCAGCCTGGCCCAGCCTTGTCCACTGCAGCCATTTGGGAAGTGAATCAACAGAAGATACTTCTAACTCTACCTTTCAAAGAAATAAATCTTTTTTAAAAGAATTAAAAATATGCAAGAGCACTGAGATAAGTAATAGAAAGATTAGAGAAAGGAAAAAACTAAATGGAATAAATCCAGGAAGAATGGAGCAATGGTGTGAGAAAAGACACAAGAGAACCTGGACCATCGCCCTGCACATGTGGAATGATGACAAATGTTGTCGACAGGACTTGATTCAATCCAATTCAATTAAATAAATTCACAAATAGCATCGAACTCAGCCTTGTATCATGATATCTCATTTCTAGTATTGACTTTTATAAGTAAAGTAACCATGAGGAAGTGGAGAAGAGTATTTTGCAGAGAGAAAACATGTGACGAGAATGCTCCACTGGGGCTGAGGGAGGGCACACAGGTTCAGTTGCATAAAACATGAATGAAAATCAGAGACTTGCAAAGCTTCAGGAGCTCCTGAGAGCATCGAGTTCAATCCTGTTTTCTACACTGTGGAGAGAGAGCCAAGAGCTGTGATGCTGCTCTGCTGTCAGGTTTATGGCTAAGCAGGGACGGGACCAAGACTTCCTGAAGCCTAATTAGTGCTTTCACCAGCAGCCACTGTGTCGGGATACAGGGAGAACAAATAACGAGATAAACTATTACCCAACTGAGTGTAACTAATTAGATTTTGTAACAAAGTAATTTTCAATAAAATTTCAGTATAATATCTCTTAACAGACTATCCATGAATGCAATATATTTATGAAGAGACATTTTCTTTATGCATGACAAGGATTGTGTTTCCTGTAAATGCTGAAGAAATGAACTTTTCAAAGAAATTTCCCCTGGAGAGCACACACATAATAAAGTCATTGACTTCAGCAAGCACTAATCAGTATTAATGCCTGTAATCACTGCAGTCAGTAAAAATTAGAGAACTACAGAAGTTTCCTTGCTTTCTCACCCTGGTGGCATAGGGGGAGAGGAGGTTGGACTGTAGAGCAGGCACCTGGCCCTATCCCAACAGCTCTTCTTCTTCCTCAGTGACCTTACCCTTAATGAACGTGTCACCCTTGGACACTGCCCTCCACTCACCAGCCTTCCATTAGTTTTTGGTAGTATTGATCTATATGCAACATTTAAGGTTTCAAACTAGACTTAAAGTGCAGTTTTTGAAAGCACCTTGAAGTGTACCTTGGTGGATGGTAACTTTTGAAAGGTTGCCTGAAGCCATGACAACAGGAGAAGCGCAGCATGCCTCCTTTCCTTTGTAAAAGACATGGGGTCGATTATCTAAACAGCATCCCAGAGCACCTCACCGGCCTGCGAAGGGGAATTCTGAAACAGCAAGCAATGTTCAGTTATAATCTGCACAAACTGAAGCATTTCTCTCTACCCCAAACTTACTTACTGGCAGTCCAGATATGTAAAGTGAACTGATGTTAAAGTAACAAATGAGTTAAATTAGATTTTGCCTTTTCCCTTCAGGGAACGCCACTCATAAGTAAAATGCTGTGAACCTAACTGTGTACTTTCAGAACATGTGAGAAAACACTGCAATCAACTGCCTGTTAAGCAAACTGATAGCATTTGTTCTCACCAAGTGCTGTATTTCATCAGAATCACCACACAGGCCCTACAATATTTTCATTGTCACATTATTCTGTTGTCCACATTGCAATAACTTCCTTGTGCCATGACACAAAGAGATTCGTAAAAGCATAGCATATGAAAATCTCTAGGATTGGTACTTATTCTGTTGTTTATACTGAGCAGTTCCTAGTGCCCTGGTTTACAAGTGAGGTGTAAAGGGGACGACATCTGTCCCAAGTACTAACAGATGCACTCAGCCACAGTCCTAGACAACCTGGGTCAGAATTCAGCACAGAACCCAGCGGAGATGGCCCACCTCCCAGTCTGTGAGCCATGAGCCCACCACGAGGGCTGGAAAGGGGAGGGGAGATGTAAAGAGAATTCTTCATGGGAACAGGGGTGTAGGTGGAGGGTGGGAATAACTTCCAATGTTCTATAGCACAGTAGGGTAGCTACAGTTGACAGCAAGTAACCACATATTACAAATAACCAGTAGAAAGGACTCTGAATGTTCTCAACACAAAGGACAAATGCCCCAGGTGATGGATACACTGTTTACTTTCGGCTGACCATTACACTGTGTATACAGCTGCCGGACTACCACACAAAACCCGGGAATATGTACAATTATCACCTATCAGTTTAAAATGGCAAAGGCTACCACATGAGGTGATTATATCTGGTGGCTTTCCACAGTCCTTATGATGGTCAAGTTCAATAAGCAGGAGGCCACTGGCCTGAGGCTGTCTCTCTACTCTGCCTTCCTTTGTAACAAACAGCTACCTAACTTGGCAGTGGAACAAAAAGCCAATCACAGGCAGTCGGCAACTGGTCACATCAACCCCAAACAAGACAGAGGCAGGGCTGTAGTCAATCGGGAGATTCCTCCTCTTGGACCCTGCATGGCCTTGTAAAAGCTTTCTGCTCATGTTGCCGGAAGAGCTCTGGGGACCTCTCCTGGTTCTGAGTGTTTACCCAACTCAGTAATTTTTGGATTGTTGTGTTCAGATAAACTGCTAAATTTTATGTGACTAAGCTTGTTTCTTTTAACGTAAGTCCAAAATACTGACACAACCCTCAGGACCCGATGTGATGTGAGCCCTGCCCCTCACTCCTGCCCCCTTGTGAGCCCCTCATTTTTCCTCATGTGCAGGAGGTGTAAGGTTCCAGGAACATGCCCAGGTCGCCACCTTGTCCAGACCACTGCCAGCTCCTCACATTCTGACACTCAGTCACCCACGGCCGCTTCCTCAGAGTTGCCTCTCTTTACATCTCAGGTTCTGCTCTTTCTTTTATCAGACACTTTTATTCCACAGTGCTTACCACAATGTGTATACATGCATGCACTTGGATGGTCGTGTTTTATATCACACACACTTTAAATCTGTCTTGTTGACCATTTCACATCCAGAGAACTGCACAATGCCTGGCCTGTAGCGGGCACTCAGTAACTGTTCATTCTGAGAAAGTGTTAACTTTTCTATCAGAAGAGAGAAATTTAAAATCTGTCTTCAGGGACAGGCTGTGTGCCACAGTGAATCAAGCCACTGCTTGGGATGCCCACAGCCCATATTGGAGTGCCTGGTTCAAGTCCTGCCTCTGCTTCTGACTGAGGTTCTGGCCAATGAACACCCCGATGAAGCAGCAGGTAATGGCACAAGTACTTGGGTTCCTGCCGCCCACTTGGGAGATCCATATGGAGCCTACAACCTGTGCCAGTCCCAGCTGTTGCCGACATTTGGGAAGTGAACCAATGCATACAAGGAACCTTTCCATCTGATTCTCTCGCCTTTCAAAAAACGAAAACAAGTTAAAAAATGTATGACATTTGCCTATTTCTCTCTCTTATATTTTAATTCCTCATGACCAGATGCAACCCAAAGATGTTTCTTTTGAAATGAGGAAGAAAATGAAGAGGAGGAGGAAGAGAAGAGGAAAAGGAAGAAGAAGAAAAGATCCTTCTGGTAGTATTTGCTTTTGTGAAATTTGAAATGGTAAAAGTATCCAAAACAATTTCTGATTTCATTTTGAGTTCAATCACTTCAAAGAGAAGTTTTTTATTAAGAAAAAAATCATCTGTCTCTGGCCATCCACTGAATATTTACAAGTAGCAATCACTTTACTAGAAGCAAAGTTAATGACAGAAAATAACTGTGACAGGGAAAAATATATTAAGTTTTTACAGCTTTTTGCCTCCTGCTTCCCCCAGCCTTTCTCTACTTGTCCAATATCAGTATCCAAAATGCTACATACATTCACCAAAAAGCCTTTTGTCTCAGCCAGCTTCATTCTTCATTCTTGTAAAATCTAGATTGACTGAACTATATAAGAGAGTCAAAACAACTCTTAAGAAAAATGGAAAAAACAAAGTTTACAAGACCCACTTAGGGATGAGTCTGGGAATGCCAAGGGAGTTCTGAAAGAGAAGGAGACAGACATGGAAGGCATTGGCCAGCTATGCTGAGTGGGTGAGGAAAACGGAGAAGAAACAGGCAAAGTACAAGTGCTGTAGTGTAGTGGGCTAGGCCTCTGCCTGCAACGCTGGCATCCCATATGGGTGCCAGTTCGTGTCCCAGCTGCTCCTCTTCCAAGCCAGCTCTTTGTGATGGCCTGGAAAAGCAGTGGAGATTGGCCCAAATGTTTGGGCCCCTGCACCCAGTGGGAGACCCAGAAGAAGCTCATGGCTCCTGGCTTCAGATCAGCCCAGCTACGACCATTGCTGCCATTTAGGGAGTGAACCAGTGAATGGAAGACCTTTCTCCCTGTCTCTCCCTCTCTGTAACTCCACCTCTCAAATAAAAAAAGAGACAAAACATTACTAGTACCCAAGAGTTTTCCTTGTTCCTCTTTAACATGGGGAAAGAAGATAATACTGTCATTTATACCATATGACCCAATGAAGCAACATTTATAATACCAAATGAGGAGAGGCCCCAGGATGGCAGAATAGGGAAGGAGCTTACTGCCTTAGTATAAGGGAAGACAGTTAAAAACAACGTGGGGAGAGTGTAATCCCAGGGAAAAGTTAGGGAGAAAATGGCAGAGGAAACTCCAAGCAAATTTGAGGGGCACTGTGGATCTATGTGGAGGGTATGGATGCACACAGCTCAGGACTCCAGCAGCTGAGAGCCTTAGCACCAGTTTTGGAGGGTGAGGTGACACCAGACTGCATCAGCCCAAGCCACTAGCGGTAACGCTGGGGGAAGAGCCTGGTGGGAGCCTGGCGTTGAGCCCTGTGTGGGACAAGATGCCTGCCAACATAGAGAGAAAAAAAGGGGACATGCTTCTCTCTCCCTGACCATCCAGCAATGGCGTACTGTAACTAGCCGAGAGTGGGCAGGCACCATTTTGGACATATGTAGCAGCTGTGCCATCTCATGTTCATGTACCCAGCAACCAGCCAAGAGTAGATACCTGAGTCTGGCTGGGAGAATTGATGGGGGCTGAGTGCTCATGACTGTGGGAGCCCTGTGTGCTGGGTCTGTGAAAACAATGTGGCTGCATGGGAGGGCACAGGGTGTGGCTGGGTCTTTGGGAAGTCACTGTGGGTGGCTCTACACATTGAGGGCTCCCTGGTTCATGGTGAGGGTCACTGCTGAAGGATCTGTGTTCACACCGAGGACTGCACAGATCCTTTGTGTGGTTTTTATGGCAGCACAGATGAACACTGTACCCACTAAGGCTAGCATTCAAGCATTGGTCTTGGAGAACAGGTGAGCATGAGACAATACCAGAGATGAACAAACCTTTCCTCTGATTAAAAAAAAAGGGAGGGGGGGGAGATTTACCACACCTAATTTGGGAGTCACCTTGGACCCTGCCCTCACCCTGGAGCATTCAACAGAGCTCCCTAGCCACACCCAGCACAGGCCTCAGGGTATTCACTGAAAGAGCAGACACTCTACTAATCCACAGAGGAATGGTCCACAGGTAAAAGCCATCACAAGGAAAAAAAAAAAAAAAACACAAGCCAATAATTATCTCCACAAATGCCTCAAAATAAAAGCAGCAATTCAAGAAACAAAAATAAGGAAGTCAGCGTGACATCCCCAAAGGAACACAGCAACATTTCAATACTACAATGTGAAAATGAATAGATTGAAGAAATACCAGAAACAGAATTCAAAAAATTTATCATAGGATTACTTAGAAGTAATCAGAAGCAAAGCCACAAACTGAAGAAATACATACATGACATGAAAGAAAATTTTTCTCATGAAATTGAGATTTTTAATCAGAAATCAAAACAAAATATTGGAAATGAAGAATTCAACAGAACAAATAAAAAATATGGTGGAAAGTCTAACAATAAAATCAGTGAGACAGAAGAAAGAATATCCAAGTTAGAAGACAAATCTCTGAAAATTTTACAGTCAGACCAAAAAAAAAGAAAAAAGAAATAAGAAAAGTAAAAACTAAAAAACAGTATTGGAGATCTATGGATCTATGGGATACTATCAAATGACCCAACATACAAGTCTTAGGAGTTCCTGAAGGCATGGGAAGAGAGAATGGATTAGAAGGCCTTTTTAGTGAAATAATAACAGAAAACTCCCCTGATTTGGAGAAAGAAAGAGATGTCCAAGTACAGGAAGCCCATAGAACTCCTAATATAAATGATCACAAAAGATCTTCTCTATGACATATTGTGGTCAAACTCTCCACAGTAAAACATAAAGAAAAGATTCTAACACGTGCACAGGAGAAACACCAGATTATTTTCAGAAGATCTCGAATTAGACTCA